AAAGATCCTAGTAGGTAGATATGATCCTTAAAAGATAAGCGGACACATAGAACAATTGTCTAAAGTCAAAGACTTAGTAAATGATAGATTTAAATCCCAAATGTTAACTCCAAAGGCTGTGTATCTCATGAACTTGCTAGTGTTCCATCTAGCAGTAGGAGGATATTTCAAACTGTTCATGGAAAAATAGAATTAAAGGGTAAGTTTATTTTGATGCAAAAATGTTTGAAATCTAGGCATATGTTTCATAATACATATTTTCATGATTGTTTTTTCAAGACCGCTCATACATACAGATTTCAAATTATTTTTCAGATTTATGTATTTGAAAGAGAAACTGAGACAGATAGAGATCTGCCATCTGCTGGTTCTCTCCCAATGGCCACAAAAGCCAGAGCTGGGCCAAGTTGAAACAAACAGCTAAGAACTCCATCAGTGTCTCCCACATGGGAGAAAGGGACTCAAGTACTTTATCACCATTGCTGCTTCTGAGGCGCATTACCAGGGAGCTGGATCAGAAGCAGAGTAGCTGAAATTTGAGCCAGCGCTCTGATACGGGGTGTGGGCATCTCAAGCAGTGGCTTAACTTGCTATGCCACAATGCCTGCCCCTGAATTTAAAATGTTTTTGCACCAAAATAAACATTTTTTTGAGAGACATAGAATGACCCATAGATATTCATAGAGAGCAAGCATCCATCCACTGGGTCACTACCCAGATGCCAACAATGGCCAGAGCTGAGCTGAAACTGAAGCCAGGAATTGAGAACTCAGTCCACTTGTCCCATGTGGTTGGCAGAGCTCCAACTCCTGAGTCATCTCTGTCATAACCCAGGGACTGCATTAGCAAGAAGCTGAAGTACCCTTGTATAGAAGAATGCTTCAAAAAGTTTTTTAAACCAGAAGGAGCCTTAGAAATTTTGTTCAACAGCATTACTTTTTAGTGAGAAAACTGAACCCCTAACAAAGGAGAGACCAAATTAGAAAAGCCATACAGCACTTTGGTGGCAGAATCCCTGTAAAGTTAGACCTCCCACATGAGCCCTTGTTCCATTACTCCCCCTTCCAGTTCTGAGAAATCTAGCTTTGCTGTTTCTGGCTTATATTTTAAAACTTCTACTGGCCCATCTCAGGTACTATTTTTTAATGAAAGATTAGTTTTGATTCTAGCCATATGAAAACTTTCAGTAGAAAAGCTAAGCAAAAGAACTGTATCTGAGCCCTCTCCAGGCTGCTTTTAAGGAAAAGTCAAGTTTCCATTCCTGTTAAGTGAGCTAGGTGTCCTGACTGGCCTCTTGAGAGGGTTCTGGCAGCAGCGGTGACAGTGCTACCCTGGGAGCAAAGCACAGTGCAGGAGGCTCTCCTGAAGCCACAGTTCTGAACTAGAAGACCTAACCTGGTGAGTGTCAGAGGTGAGTCTTTGGGATTACACAACAAAAGCAAGCAGATTTTGGACACCATGCCAGGCAGTAGAAGAGACTGATGTTCTAGAAATCGCAGAGACTCATTCATCTGGATCCTCAGACAGAGTGGAACACACGTGTGCATACCTCTCAGCTCTGACCTCTAAAAGTCCCCTGGTGCTCCTTCTGGGTGCTTCTGTTACTCTTCTGGGACAGGAACTAATCCTAAAGAAGATGGCTTTTTCAAGCAGTTAGAAAATTAGGTACAGTTCCTGGTCATGCAATGCAGGGAACTTCAAAGGGCCATCAGCAACTCCTGTGTTACAATTTTAAACATGAATTCTGCTTTATACCTATAATGTTTCAGCATCTTGTCTTTCCATTATGTCAAAGTACATCAGATTCTAATGCCAAACCTGAGTTATTTCCTCTTTGCAAAAGCATATTGTGTTTCTTTTCCATCTTGAGTGTATGCTTTTAAAATAGAGAATGCAACTTCTAAGCACTAAAACTCTATTTCTTTGAATGTGTCCCTCTCTTTACCTCAGTTGTATCTACACAAGTGAAACAAAAGTATTCAGTGTTGTTGGATGAAAATCAGAACGCTACTTTTAAATTCACCTAAACTAAAATTTTAATTCCCCTAGAATTATATCTGCAGAGTTTTAAGTGTTTCTTTGAAAGGAGTAATTCAGAAAAGATACTTTCAATGTACGGTGTTGGCCTGTAAAGGGCTGTGGAGGGTGTTTCATCCAAACTGCTCATTTTCTAGATGAAGAAGGCTGTTCAGAATGTTGTCACGCACTCAAGCCCTTCTGACTTACTAACGTGGAGCTGGCTCACTGGGGCACAGCCTTCTGATTAGGTTATTTTACTTCTTTGAGGGATTTTCAGACTCTCAAGCATTGAATGGTCATTTTAAAGTGGTGGAGAATCTGCCTCTGGTTTTATGGGACTGAACTGGGAAGTAAGGTAGGAAGAAGAGGAAAGCCCCGTTCCAGAGGAGCTTCCCTCCCTGGCTGTCCCCGTTTTGGAGGTCAACATGTACATAAAAAGGCCGTGAATTCCAGCATGAGCAGCACATTGTGCATGCTGTCAGAAGTATGCTGGTAGACACTGGTGTACGGTGAGCAGGCCACACAGCCACCTGCCGGCTCCGCCTCTCCAAGCCCTCATCTCTGTTTTCTCAGATTCTTACATTTGTACTCAAAAAGTTTTGGATCTTCTTCATCTGCTTTAAAAGGACTTTATTCTGACTGATTTCGTTATTTTTAGAGCCATTTTTTTCTCAGAGATAGTTTTCTCACTAAGTATGATGATACTTTCATTATACAGAATCTTCACAACTAGGTTCCATCTGTGCAAATAGAAACATGAGCTCTCCTTAACAGCAGAAGTAACAACATAAAATTAGATTAAAAATTGTTCTTGGGGAAAGTAGGCTGAAGTTTGAGGCAGGGTTGGTTTCTCCTGTCTTAGGGTCTGCAAGTACTGTGTATGACTCCTTTTTTTCCAAGAGATATTCTTGGTTCTTATTTCCTTTTCTTGTGACTTTCCATAAGCAGGAGAAAATTGCTCGTTAGCTTTTTTGGAGTTGTATGACTGGGGATATTGGCTGTGCTTGAATTGTATGATTTGTTCTTTGTGCTAACTTCTGAGAGTACAAAAGTCACTATATACTTTTCTTGTTGTTGTTGTTGTTTTTTAAGATTTATTTATTTATTTAAAGGGTAGAGTAATAAGAGAAAGAACTTCCATCTGCTTGTTCACTCGACTAATGGTTACAATGACTGGGGTTGCTTCAGGCTGAAGCCAGGAGCCTGGAACTCCATTGAGATCTCCCATATGGGTAGCGAGGGCCCAAGCACTTGGGCCATTATCCACTGCTTTCCCAGGCACATTAACAAAGAGCTGGATCCATAACAGAGCAGCTGGGACTTGAATTGGCACTCCACTATGAAATGCCATTGTCACAAGGGCAGCTTAACTCAGTGTACCACTAGGCTGGCACCTTCTCTTATTCTTGAACCTCATCCTCTATATTGTGACTTGTTTAAAATTAATTAGATGAGGCCAGTTTTTAGTGAATGGCAAATTCTTTCTGGCACCTTAGTTAAGAAGGTCAAAGGGAACTTTCACTATCTCACATATTTATAGATGAACATATTTTTCTACTTTTCTCCTTTCTGTTTTTAAAACTGTTTAGTAGTATTCTATAGATATTCAAGTAGAAATTAGTTGTCTTTAGTTAATCCTCTGCTACATAGTAGATAGTAAATATTTTGTAAATAAATAATGTACCTCTTTTTTTTTTTTTTTTTTTTTGACAGGCAGAGTGGACAGTGAGAGACAGAGACAGAGAGAAAGGTCTTCCTTTGCTGTTGGTTCACCTTCCAATGGCCGCCATGGCAGGCACACTGCAGCCGGCACACCGCGCTGATCCGATGGCAGGAGCCGGGTACTTATCCTGGTCTCCCATGGGGTGCAGGGCCCAAGGACTTGGGCCATCCTCCACTGCACTCCCAGGCCATAGCAGAGAGCTGGCCTGGAAGAGGGGCAACTGGGACAGAATCCGGCTCCCCGACCGGGACTAGAACCCGGTGTGCCGGCTCCGCAAGGCGGAGGATTGGCCTAGTGAGCCGCGGCGCCGGCCATGTACCTCATTTTAATTGAAAAAAAAAATTTGGATCTCTTCTCAGAACTGGCAATGAAAATTTAGATTTTATTTTACACAATATAGACATTTTTGTAGACACTTAATGTGTTTTTTTTTTTTTTATTTTGACAGGTAGAGTTATAGACAGTGAGAGAGACAGATAGAAAGGTCTTCCTTCCATTGGTTCACTCCCCAAATGGCCGCCACGACCAGCACTGTACCGATCCGAAGTCAGGAGCCAGGTGCTTCTTCCTGGTCTCCCACATTGGGTGGCAGGGGCCCAAGCACTTGTGCCATCCTCCACTGCTTTCCCAGGCCACAGCAGAGAGCTGGACTGGAAGAGGAGCAACCAGGACTAGAACCCGGTCCCCATATGGGATGCCGGCGCGGCAGGCGGAGGATTAGCCAAGTGAGCCATGGCACCAGCTACCTCATGTTTATTTTTATTCATTCATTCCAGAAATACCTGATTAAAATAAATGTTGAATTTGCTGCTAGGTATACAGCAAGTAACAAGATAGACCCAGCATCTGCCCTCATGGGTCAGTCTTTTGCTTTTACAAATGTATTTAGTATTCCCCTAATACTAATATTAAGCCCCATTTCTTGTGTGCTAGGTAATGTGTGAAGCCTTTTGAGTGCATTGCCTCATCTCACCCCTGCCATAACCCTGTAGACAGTGGTATTCAGTACCCTTTTACAGATGAAACTAAGACAAGAGCCTTACTCACTTCACCCTGTGAAAGGGCAAAGCCAGCACACAAACCCACTCCTTCTACCTTGACCCCTTCTAATTTCTCTTTTACATGCCTTGAACATTTGACATTATAATTCGATGCCTCTTGTTAAAATAACTATTTAATAGTAAGATGTGACTAAGTAGCATGAGAGCTCTGACGTCTAAGAAACTGTACCTATCTTTCTCCACCGTGCCTGTCTCAGGAGGACACTCTGCCCAAGTTGGCCGGCAGCAGCAGCAGCAGTAGCAGCAGCAGCAGCAGTGGTGTGTCTCCCCCCATCCCTGAGGAGCTGGCAGCCGGGGCTGTGTGCCCGAGGAAGAGTAAGTATTCGTGCTCCAAAGAACTGGAGTCAGACACCTCGTAAAACTTGCTTGACCTGGAACAGGGAGCCCAGAGTTCCCTGTGGTCTTTTCGGGTAGAAATAACCCTCATGTCTCACTGGTCAGCTGTAACTAGAGAGTTATTTTCCTAGGGAGCAGTCAAAAGGTACAGCTAAGCTTGTAACCGGCCTCAGGCTCTTAATTTATGGTGAATCAGGAACATTTGTGTTTATATATAATAGTTACGGAAATAGGTCAACTGTGTGCATGTGTGTATTTTTAATGGTAACTACATCATTGTCTAAATTTAAGCCAAAAGCCCTAGAAACCATATTTTTGCTATGACAATCTGTTACTGCCACACCCCTCCCCATACCTCATATACAAAAGTAGGTGATGAACACATCTAAAGGAAATTCTAAAGAACTTTAAAAGTACCTCTTTTTCATTCATAAGGTCATTATGAGGATTAAAAATTAGGTATTGAGATATTCTTTGAACACTTTTTTTGCACAGGTTTTAATGATTAAAATTCTTTAAATGGCATTCTGATTACTTAAATAGATTGTGTCAAGAACAGTAGAAGCTGGAATTGGTTAATAATTGGCAAGGCTCATTTTATATTCTAGGATCCCAATTAAATCACATAATGGGTTTCTGTATCCTTTTTAGACTGCGGAAATTAGGTTCTTGGTTTTCCTGTAGCGATTTCTCCTGATGGGACACTCCAGACAGAGGGACCGTATTCGACTTTGTGTCGACTCTTGCTTTCCTCACCCACAACCTTGAAGCAGCCTTTACAGATGGAGTAGGAGGAAGTGCTCAATAACAGTAGCATGCTGATAGCATAATTTATTTCTAGTGTTGTTATGTTTTCAACATGTGAATCTAGAACCATTCAGACACTAAAACATTCTCCTTTGAAATACTATCCCAAAATATTACTCCACAGAGGAGAACAGTAGTATAATACTACCATGAACACTAAACCTGTTTTTTTCCAATTTAAATTTAGGTTAATTTAAATCTAAGGACAAAATGTCTTGATAAGCATATCTAAAGAAGAGCTTCCTTATTTTATCTTTAAGAGAATGTAAAAGGAGGGTATACTTGAAAATTTTAGTATGATTTAGGGATCTCTTTTGTCACACAGAATACATATTTTTGCATGTTTTTAAAATGATTCCTGGGCACGGAAAGGAAAGGGGAGAGAGAGAGAAAAGAAAGGATCTCTGTGGGTGAGACCCCAGTGGAAGGAAGGGGCCATCAAAGAAGGATGTTCCTTTCTCTGAAGGGAGGAGAGAACTTCCACTTCGCTTATGGCCCTGTCTAAATACTGACGGAGTCTGTGGACTCAAAAGGCTTCCAAAGCCTTAGCAGTTCATGGCAAGAGCCTCAGGCGATCACTGACATCATACATAAGAGTGTTAATTGTTAAATTAACAACAAAAGTCACTGTGCACTTACTCCCCATGTAGGACCTCTGTCCTTAATGAGTTGTACTATGAGAATTACCTGCAAAACTTGTTCTCAAACAGTACTTAATACATTGTGTGGGGGGGTGGGGTGCAAACTGTTGAAATCTTTACTTAGTATAATGTTGGTCTTCTGAATATAAAGTTAATTTTAAAATGAATCTTAATGAAGAATGGGATGGGAGAGGTAGTAGGAGGTAGGATGGGAGTGGGGGTGGGAGGGCGAGTATTGGGAGGAAGAACCGCTATATTCCTAAAGTTATACCTATGAAATTTGCATTCATTAAATAAAAGCTTTAAAAAAATAAAATAATGCCTGATACTTTAATGGCAGAATCCTATGGAAGGTAATATGGGGACAGTATTTATCTGAGGCTGTATTCATGCTGTGTTTTTATGAGTGGGTTTGCTTGAATATAAAAAAAAAGACAGAACATTCTTCCTTTTTGATGGCTATTTCTGTAGCAAATTTGTCTTCCAAATATTCCTCTAACAATCCTGAATCTCCCTCTAAGGGTTACCATGGCCATCCTTAAAGTCTCTCTCCACTGAAGTAAATATTTCATCTTCAAATGCAGTGTTTATCACAAATGGCAAAAGAGTATTCTGTTAGAAAGTTCAGAATCTAATATTTTTATTTTGTAAGAGAGTTAATTTTATCTGGTTACATCTGCAGAGCCTCCAAAATTCTTGCCCATATCATCAACACCCCAGCCAGAGAGGCGGCAGCCACCTCAGAGACGACATTCCATTGAGAAGGAGACCCCCACCAACGTGAGGCAGTTTCTGCCCCCATCCAGGCAGAGCTCCCGCTCTCTTGTAAGTATTGGGAAGGAAGACTGCCCAGTAACATGAGGATCAGCTTGAAAACCTAGAGTCATTAGCTTCCTAAAAAGATGATAGGAGAATAAAACTTCCAGAAGTTAGAATAGCTATAGAGAAAAGAAGCTGTAACCGCAGAACACTGGGATCTGCTGAAGTTCTTTTTTTTAGGTTGTGATTTGTTGTTAGAGCTTCAGATGCTGCCGCAGCAGATGTGCCACAGTGAAGGGAGATAATGTGGTTATTGTGAACACGGAGGGGATTGTTTTTTGTTTTCCTGGTGTTTTTCTAAAGACTTATGTTTTTAAAAGATAGATAGATAGATAGGATAGATAGATAGATAGATTTATTTATTTATTTATTTATTTGAAAGTCAGAGTTAAACAGAGAAAGAGGTCTTCCATCTTCTGGTTCACTCCCCAATTGGCCACAAAGGCCGGAGCTGAGCTGATCCAAAGCCTGGAGCCAGGAGCTTCCTCCAGGTCTCCCACATGTTCTCAGGGGCCCAAGAACTCAGGCCATCTTCTACTGCTTTCCCAGGCCATAGCAGAGACCTGGATCGGAAGTGGAGCAGCTGGGACTCAAACCGGTGCCCACATGGGATGCCGGCACTGCAGGCGGGAGCTTTACCTGCTACACCACAGCACTGGCCCCACGACTTACTTATTTTTTGAAAGGCAGAGTAACAGGAAAAGAGGGAAAGACAGAGAAAGAGATCTTCCATCCTCTGATTCACTCCCCAAATGGCTGCAACAGCCAGGGCTGGGCCAGGCCAAAGCCAAAAGCCAGGAACTGCATCCAGATCTCCCTATATGGGTAGCAAGGGCTCAAGTACTTGGGCCATTATCCGCTGTCTTCCCAGGTGCCTTTACAGGAAACAGGATCAGAAATGGAGCAGCTGGGACTCAAACCAACACTGGAATATGGAATGCTGGCATTACAAGTGGTGATTTAATTGCCTCTCCACAACACCAGCCCCAACACAGGGAGTTTGAATGGAATTTAAAGGGTTGACATTTGGGGGCTGGCAATGTGGTGCAATGGGTTGAAGCCCTGGCCTGAAGTGCCAGCATCCCATATGGGCACCAGTTCTAGTCCCGGCTACTCTACTTCCTATCCAGCTCTCTGCTATGGCCTGGGAAAGCAGTGGAAGATTGCCCAAGTCCTTGGGCCCTTGCACCCACATGGGAGACCTGGAGGAGGCTCCTGGCTCCTGGCTTCAGATCAGTGCAGTTCTGGCCATTGCAGCCATCTGGGGAGTGAACCAGCGGATGCAAGACCTCTCTCTCTGTCTACATCTCTCTGTAACTCTGTCTTTCAAATAAATAAAATAAATCTTAAAAAGGGTTAACACTTGATCAGTCATGTCTGTTTCAAAATAGCATTATTTAAGAGCTAATGATTTTTTGACCATTCCTAATAAGATTCATCTAACCCCCAGATATCCACTGGAAAAAAAATGCTATTTTGATGAAATAGGAGTATTGCCTTGGCAGTGGTTTACCAACAGAAAAACATAACTCTGACCAGCTCTGTGTAGTTTTGAACTTTAACATCAAAAGACTTTTGTTAAGTGAATAAGTTGTTGCTTTATCATAATCTGTGTTTATTGTCTCATCTTAGAAATATATAAGAGGGAGCTCATTGGTGATCTATTTCCTAAGTCCAGTAATTAGGTTATTCTTCTCTTTATCCAACTTTTCCTAGAAACTAGTGTATCATTTCACTGATGTATCTGGTCCTTATGGTCATATAATATAATTATTGAGGTAAGATTAAATTAAACATAAAAATTATCAGTGTAAAGGAACCATCGACCATAGTGTTATGTTAGCTAATAATAGAGGTTATGCCAAGACCTTCAGCCCACACCAGAGACCAAGAGATCTGGCAAATCTTGGTCAGACTGTGAGCCTGTATTTTGTAGAAGAGGGAGGAGAGCAAGAAAAACTAACTGCAGTTAGTTGGAAGGGTCCCTGTGAACAGGCAGTGGGAGAGCTGGGTTCACCTAGGTGGAGCTCAGGCTGAGGGAAGGGAGCAGAGACCATGGAGAGGTGCAGGGTGGCCCTCACCCAGTGCCTTCTGGCGCCAGCTGAGACAAACATGAACATCCAGCTGTGCAGCTACTGTCCTTGCCAGTGGCGTGGGAATCCATAGATATCAAACGTGGGTAGTAGTGCCCTCTAGCTTGGTAAGCATTGATTTTACAAGTATGGTAATTAATTTGGAATTTTAGTTTAATTTTATTAAGCAAGAAATCATTTTGTATTTGACTCTATTGCCCTCCCTTTCCTTAGTATGTCTGAAGTGTAACTTTTTTCATCACCTGGTGAAGTGACTGGGGGTGACTGCCCCTCTAGGTGAAAGGCAGGCTGTCAGAAAGTACTTTTACAGAGACAGAAGCAAACAGTTCCTTGGTGTATACTAGGGGACTTAGAAAGTTTATGAGAAAATGGATTTAAAAGATAAATTTACTTTTGGTGCATTGAAATTTTGAAATCTATTCATAGTTTTTTCACACTATGAATTTCCCATGAACTTTTTGAAGACCCCCTGGTATCCTTGTGTTTTCTCAGACACTGGAGGCGGTTACCTCTGTCCCTTAGCCCAGCAGCACCATTTAGGGGACTCAGAACGTTCAAAGGGCCCCCAAGCTAGAGAAATGCGAAATCTGTCTTTGCTGTGGGAACTGTACAATCTCTAGGCATGACTTTGGGATTCGGTTTCTGAGTTAGATGTACAGATGCAGACATGGTGTGGACCATTACCATCCTTGTGGGGTTTTCTATTTTGTTTGGTTTTTCTTTCATTTCTGTAATTAGTATTTGTAGGTCACTCATGTTCAGCGTTATTTTCTCCTTTTCTTTTCTCCTGCCATTTTCTTTTTCCCTTATCTATTGTTCAGGTTCCTAGGATAACCAGTGTATGGCCCAGGACGCCTTTCCGACCACTTTTTTCTACCATACAAGCAGCTTCTCTGCTCAGCTCTCATCCTTTTGAAGCAGCCATGGTTGGGGTAGCAGGGGCTATGTATTATCTGTGTGAGAGAGCTTTTACCAGCAGGTGGAAATCCTCAAAGGTTGGCCTCTTTCTGCTGGTTCTGGGAATTATTTTACTCTCTGTATCTCTTTGACAGTGATACTTCAGCTATTGCATTCTGCGAGAATTAACAGCTTAGATGGGCACTTTGCTTCTGATTGTTGATTCCAATCTTGTGTAGGATGTATAGATCTCGCTATGATCTCAGTTGAGGGGGAAATGACTTTGAAAGGACAACAAACTCAAAATGCAGCATCAGATTAGATGTCCCATGGGTGTTTGTCTATTTGAGTGACCTCGTTGTCATCAGGGTGGTGCAGGAGGTCCTCCTGAGAGCCAGAGCATGCTTTCTTCTGGGCCTCCCCTGCCATCAGAAGAGCGATCACTTGCTCATTCAGCTGACAGAGTAGCTCCTGCCATGTAACCAAGCTCTGAGGGCCACGTACCCAAAGGATGGCCTCCTGGGGCCAGAAACCTGTCTGTTCCCAGCATGTCATAAAGCTGCCTATGGTGGTCAGGGTGTTGCTTCTCTGGGAGGAGAAAATTTAATCTTTCTTTTTATTGATGTGGTTATTTAAAATAATTGTGTATTTTCTTTTTAGAGATCTTTGCACAGAATAATATATTTTACTACTATTTGAACCTTCACATTTTTTGAGTGAAATAAAAAGCCCTGGGACCACATTGAAGCCCCTCTGGTCCAGTGTGGCTCTCAGGGTCCCTAACAGATGACTCAGCGGCAGCTTCTGTGTTATTCATCCTCATTACCCATCTTAGTATAGAAAGGAGTCCAGATGCCAATGAAATTGTCATGAAATATGGGGTCAGTCTCTGACCTTTTTCCCAGTTTAGACCTGCCCTTCGGACAGCACCTGCTCAGGTGCAGGGGTGTGCCTTTTAACCCTGTCACTCCTACTGTGACACCTGAAGACCTGCATTTTTTTTTTTTTTTTTTTTTTTGACAGGCAGAGTGGGCAGTGAGAGAGAGAGACAGAGAGAAAGGTCTTCCTTTGCCGTTGGTTCACCCTCCAATGGCCGCCGCGGCAGGCACGCTGTGGCCGGCGCACCGGGCTGATCCGAAGGCAGGAGCCAGGTGCTTCTCCTGGTCTCCCATAGGGTGCAGGGCCCAAGGACTTGGGCCATCATCCACTGCACTCCCGGGCCATAGCAGAGAGCTGGTCTGGAAGAGGGGCAACCGGGACAGAATCCGGCGCCCCGACCGGGACTAGAACCCAGTGTGCTGGCGCCGCAGGTGGAGGATTAGTCTATTGAGCCACGGCGCCAGCCACCTGCCGCATTTTGTTATGGATCCTCCCCAAATAGAGGTGTGGTATCTACACACCAAGGCCACATACTACTTCAGACCAACAAAGGATTCACTTTGAGTTTTAAGGCTTAATTAAACTTAATAGTTTTTATTTAAATTTGCCTCTCTCTCGTTTATTAGAAACTCTTACCCTGTACACAAGACTCCCCCACCATCAGAAGCCTGCGTCTCTGTATCTTTCAGAGTGCTGGTAGCTCCACAAGAACAGCTGAAGCTTAGTTTGGCTTTGGGGATGTTGAATTAATCTTTTTGTTATTTGAGGGGGAAAAACTAATCCATAGCAACTATTTGTCATTTTTTTCATGTTGCATTAAAGTTTTGTTGTCCTTGGGAAAGCTCTAGAATTAAAACATTAGCATTTGACCTGATGGAAATTATTTTACTAACCCAAAGTATTTTTTAAATTTAAAAATATATGTATAGGCATATAACACCGCATAAATTTGTACAGTTAAAATAATTTTTAAAACCTCAAAACACACTAAAACTGAATTTTTTCAATTTCAGTAGCCTCCTTTAGACCTTTAGTAAATTTTAATGTGGAAAAAGCATAAGAAAACAAAAACCCAGGATCTCTTACTGCATCCTCTGAAGCACTTGATTTGCATATTGTTCAAAGCAGGAAGTTGGAGGAAGTATGCTTGACTAAGGGCTTCTGTGACTTGAGACTGAAGAGGGGAGCTCAAGCTGTCAGGTTGATTATGTGTGCTAGTAAATCCCCACAAATAAAGAACAATTATTGTCTCCCTGAGATGTTTACCAACCCAGGTATCCCAGTAGCAAAATTACTGAAACTGGCACTATATGATACCTTCCTGGCAAGTACAAGAACAAGTCTGTTTACCTGGTTATTTGCTAGATAACAAATCCAGCAGCAAATATCTGGTTATTTGCTAGATGCATACACTGTTTTATTGCAGCTTAGCAGTTTTATCACATAGTTAAGCCATCGGAAAATGTGTCATAATCACATCCATCACTGATAAATAAAAATGATCCTAGGAAAACTGCTTTGAAACATGTGAAAGTGGAGCTATCATTCAGCCACCACTCCTTCCTTAGTACTCAGTTGCCATTTTTGTTGTTTTTAAAGATTTATTTATATGAAAGGCAGAGTTACAGAGAGACAGCTTCCATCTGCTGGTTCACTCCCCAGATGGCCACAACAGCCAGGGCTTGGCCAGGCTGAAGCCTGGAGCCTGGAACTCCATCCAGGTCTCCCCAAGCATTTTGGCCATCTTCAACTGCTTTTTAGGCACATTAGCAGGGAACTGGATCAGATGTGGAGCAGGCAGGACTTGAACTGGCACTCATGAGATGCTGGCATCACATGCAGCAGCTTAACCCACTGCACCACAACGCTGGCCCCAGTACTTAGTTTTAATGGCCTAACCTTCAGAGAGGCAGTTCATTGTTCCCACTTGACACTACTCTCTTTTCTCAGGATGGAGCAAAACAGAGCAGACACTGAACGTGCCAATTTAATCCTCTCATCTTTGAAAGCTGTTCCCATTGAAAGAGGATATTGTGTGATGGGTGATTTTTTTTTAATGAGTATTTTGGGAATCTTAGAGCAAATTCTGCAACCTTTCAGAACAAACCATCCCCTGCCCTCCAAATACTAAAAAGCTCTTGTATTACAAATATGGTTGTAGGATTTTTTTTTCCCAAAGCATGTTTAAGCAAATTTAATGTTCCTTAAGTTAGCTTAAAGAGAGATGACTTTGTATTGATTTTCAGTAAAAAGCAGTTCTTCAAACTAGATTTTTTAGTAAATGCTAATGTTTGCCAAATTTGCAACCTAGATTTTGTTTTTTTTTTTTTTTTTTTTCTGACTGAAAGACAGAACTGAATGTTAAAACTCCATAAACTGTCTACATTCACAGTCATGTGCTTTCCCATTTGGCTTGTTTGCATCCAGTCCCGAATGCCTGTGAGCAATGCTATTGTGTGTGTGGGGGAGTGAATTATAATGTGTTTGTGCTGAGAACATTCAGTTTCAGTGTCACTGCACCACAATGGCCCCTTGAAGCCTGGCAGGGTCCAAATGCACAAGACTGTTCTGTCTTTCTCTTAGATCCTCCAATCAAGTGTGGCCGGATGGGGAGCGGATGGGCCTGAGGCTCTTACTCAGTGGGATCAGTTACATCAACATCTTTTGCAGCTGTTTTTAGAGAAGCCATTAACATAAGACAGCCAATATAAATATTTATTATTAAATTCTTCTGAGTTTCTCCACAGCTTCCCAATGCTGACTGTACATTCAGCAGTTGTTGAAAGTAACAGCAGAAATTCAGGGAGCTGCGGGCAGCCTGCAGAGATTGCCTTAGGCTACAGATCTTTCCCATAGCCTTTCCAGGAGGACTTTTTAAAGGGTGCTGATGTAACTGATCATTAAATAATGCTTGTCGGTATACATTACTAACCACCTTCTTTGGGCTATTCTGGGTACCACAAACTAGTTTTTAAAACAGGACCAGAATTGTAGATTTGCTGTTTTATCTATTAAAATACAGTATACAATAGAATACCAAGTAATATATTTGCATAATCATAGGAGAAAACTTAAATAACTTGGTTTAGAGCAACAAAAATTTTTGAAGATATCTAGATACATAGCTTTGCTTAATGGAATAGAGTTACTTGAGGCAAAGTATTTGAACAAACACAAGGAACTTCATTTATTGGAAATTTCGAAAGGCTGCAGATCCACATGGTCCCCAGAAGTTTTCTGCCTTCAGTAGCTTCAGTGTGATTACAAATGATGTGGTCCCCAGAGGGAGCCGGCTCTAGCCCAGTGATCACGGGAAACCTCTTTTCTTTGAATCTACTAACCAAGTGAGCCGAAGGGAAATTCTGCAGTTCCACAGTGGGGGCGGGAGTGTCTTACTCATGTGGCATTTTGAATTTCAGGAGGAATTCTGCTACCCAGTGGAATGCCTCGCTCTTACTGTGGAGGAAGTGATGCATATTCGGCAGGTCCTGGTGAAGGCAGAGCTGGAGAAATACCAACAGTATAAAGATGTCTACACCGCCCTGAAAAAAGGAAAGGTAGAGCCGTTTAACGTTAACTGAGCAGCATGCTAGAAGAATGGCCAGTCCCAGATGTGCGCTCATAGCCAGAAGGGACAGGGCATGAGGGGAGCTTGGGAAGGAAGATGTTTGGAGTCTGACATGGTTATCCCAGTTCCGCCTCACAAGAGGTTTATTTTTTTTCCCTGACTCTAGAGATCAAAATCTGTGGAAGGTTTAAAAATAACATAAAAATAATAGTATTTATTTGTAAAACTGTATTTAGTCAGTTTTTTTTTTAATTCATTTTATTTATTTGAGAGACAAGAGAGACAGTCTCCCATGTACTGGTTCAGTCCCCAAATGCCTGCAACAGAGAGGCTGGGTCAGGCCAAAGCCAGGAGCCAAAATACAATCCTGGTCCCCCACTCAGCTACTTGAGCCTTCATTACTGCCACCAGCGTATTCATGGTGGGAAGTTAGAGGCAGAAGCAGAGCCAGGCACTCCAGCGTGGAACGTGGGCGTCTTGACCAGTATACCAGATTCGGGTCCCAGTCATCGTGCTTTTAAAAGCTCTCCAACTAAACTCTATTTGAGCAACAGAGAAGGATTTTTTTCAAAACCTCCTCACATCAGTGAGATGCTTGAGAGCTTGGCCTTTTATTACCTTTTGAAATAGAATTATCATCACATACCTAGGCAGACATCAAAACAGGATTCCTGAGTTCCACAGAGTATCCGTGTGAAGCCTGCTTAGACACAGGGAGGTAGGAGATCAGCTCTTCCCCATGCTTCTTTTCTCCTTCTAACTTTGTATTTTTTAGCTCTGCTTTTGTTGCCGAACCAGGAGGTTTTCCTTCTTCACTTGGTCTTACACCTGTCAGTTCTGTAAGAGGTAAGGTACTTTGTAATTGATGAAAAGATCAACTGTAAAAGAAAGCAGAACCAATGGCTTCCATTGTTTCATCATTTTTCTACCCAAGAATGATGTTAGAAATGAATGATTCTTTTGTATTATCTTGTACTACCCTCGCAGGTTAGGAATATTGATTTCCTTAAAAATCTGGGTCAGGCAATTATTTGGTATTGAACCTGGAAAATGCTTCTCTGCATGTTATTTTTTTTTTACATAACCAAGATTGAATTCTATGTCATGTTTAAACAGAGAAAAAAAGTGACTCATGTGATCCCAGGATAGACCCCCCCAAAAAAATTCCAAACAGATAGAAATTGATTTTCTGTCAGAGTTAGATTGTACACATTAACAGCCTTTTTGGCAATCCACAGTTGCATCAGTTTGTTACATTCTGGTAAGAATCAGAGAGTTTTTGCAATTTATTGTAGAAATTCACAACCATGCAGCCATTCCACTCCATCAGTATCCATTGTATCATACCAAGTAATACTTGTGATTCTGTACACAGGCCCGTGTGCTCACAGTGTTGCAAAAAGGTAAGCTGAGCTTAGTTAAACTATAACTATGCTAATTTTAATGACTCTGCCTCTTTAACAGTACTGCTCATTCTCAGTTTTATTTGGGATAATAGATGCGGCTGCCCTCCAAGCCATACTCCACACTTCCTATCTTTTCACTGGGACCTTCAGCCTTGCAACGAGGGGAAAGTTGTGTGAGGTCAGAAAAGACCTCCACTGGCCACCATCGGCCGCTCCGGAGCATCGCCAGGTGAGTGAGTGGCTTGAGCCTCCCCAGCCCCCGTGTCAAAGGTGCTACACCTTTCCAACACTGACGCAGGGTTTTGTTGTTGTGATTGGTCTGTTGGTTTTAATACAGTTTTAGACTTGCATATAAATTTCTAAAACATCCCAAAGATAACTTTTCAAGGGATAATGGCTAGCTACTTGAAGGATACTTTAATCATACAGTGTGTATTTTTTTCTGCTTTACAAATAACTGTTGTGTTGTATAAACGTATTTATAACAGACTTTGTTTTCAGTGGAGTTGAAAACCTTCATGCAACAGTCCAATCCTTCTTTCCTCTTCCCTAGTTTTGAAAGAAAATCTCTTTACTCCTGTGTTTACAATGGTTTGCAATAGCTTTGACTTCCTTTATTGTTATAGAAGCAGAAATATAGCTTTATACCACCAGCTGACAATTTAGAAGAAAAACAAGTTGCCTGAGTATCAGTTCCTTCACCTTTAGTGCAGGGTAAGGTTGGTGTGGGTCCTAAAGAAGGTGGAAGAAGGCAGTGGGTGAGCTCAGGCACCTGGAAGGGCCGAGAGGCTCACAGCGATCTGGACGGTGGGTTGAGGAAACTGTGTCCCAGATGCCTGCCCCCTGCTCGGACCCCTGTCCTCTGAGACACCACAGCCCCTGGCAGCCTCAGGGGAGCTGTGCTCCACAGGCTCAGGGCATGTGCCTGACAGCTCTTGTTCTTTTTTTTTTTTTTTTTTTCTTTTTTTCTTTTTTTTTGACAGGCAGAGTGGGCAGTGAGAGAGAGAGAGACAGAGAAAGGTCTTCCTTTGCCGTTGGTTCACCCTGCAATGGCCGGCGCACTGCAGCTGGCATATCGTGCTGATCCAAAGGCAAGAGCCAGGTACTTATCCTGGTCTCCCATGGGGTGCAGGGCCCAAGGACTTGGGCCATCATCCACTGCACTCCCGGGCCACAGCAGAGAGCTGGCCTGGAAGAGGGGCAACCGGGACTAGAACCCGATGTGCCGGCGCCGCAAGGCGGAGGATTAGCCTAGTGAGCCGCGGCACCGGCTCTTGTTCTTTTCTGTACTTACTCTGAACCCACTGTCTGCCACTCAGCATATTCTTATTTTGTTTAATTAAAATAATAAAGGAGTAGATAATTCTTAGTTGTCTCAAACACTGCAGAAAACTTTATTATGATATTGGTCTCCTTCATTCTAACTCTCTGGAATCCAACTAACCAGTTATCCAAATACAGAGACTAGTTGGGGAAGGGGAGGCATATTAGATCAATATACAAATGACAAGAAGACTGGTCAGACTGTATCAGGATTAACATCTGTTTACTTCAATTTCTATCATCCGACCCACCATCTGGGTCAATTACTGCCCATTGCTGGAGACATAGGTGCACTGGATCCCTAGGGTTAGAACCTTCAAGTCCTTCTGAATCCTCAATAGTTGATTAGCAACATGGACTTTAGCTCATTATAGTTGTTAGAATGCACAGTCCACAGCTGTATGCAAAGCAGGTGAATACCCTGTCTTCCAAAAAGCTCTGTCTTCCAAAAAATTCTCAATATTATTTTGTAATAAAACAAGTTTTCTGCTTTCTTTGCTGAAAAAAATATTTCTGAACCTTGTCTCCAGTAAAAAAAAATTCCTCTTTGGGAAAACATGACATGATGAAATCACTCATCTGTTTCATAATGTTTTGGCAGCAGACTTGCTTTTTCAGTACATATTTTCTTAGTATTGCAGTGAAAGTGTAAGTAACAATGCTGGACATTTTGGGGGTTTTTCTTCCAGGTTCTCCTCAAAATCTAAGTCTGTGGACAGATCAGATGAAGAACTGCAGTTTCCCAAGGAGCTGATGGAGGACTGGAGCACGATGGAAGTGTGCGTGGACTGCAAAAAGTTCATTTCCGAAATCATCAGCTCAAGCCGACGCAGCCTGGTACTGGCCAACAAAAGAGCCCGGTTGAAAAGGAAAACACAGTCTTTCTACATGTCTTCACCGGGCCCCTCAGAGTACTGCCCCTCCGAGAGGACCATCAATGAGATCTGAGCCTGTGCCTTGCAGTCACTCTGTGTCCAGGCTGGCACGGGTGTGCGAGAACACTGACCCAGGCCAGCTCTGCTTCCTGCGGTTTATTTAACAGGCTTGAATTTGCATTAGATCAGATTTTTGCTGCATCACATTGTTCCACAGACTGAATGCTGTGTTCGTATCGATTGATGCTATGTGACAGGTCAGCCAATTGCTCGTTTGCACTGAGAGAGGACAAGAGTTTGAGACTTGCTTTTGTGAGTGTGTGGCTTTGGAAGCCTGAAACCTTTTCCTTGGCTCAGTTCCTTACTCGTCTTCAAATTATTTCCTGACTAAGGCAAAAAGCTTCTCACGTGAGAAATCAGTGTGACAGAGGTGTCGATGTTAGCACAATTCTAAGCAGTAAGTCATATTGGCATTTCCACATGACAGTGTTCCTATCTCATGTACATAACAGCCCAGAGCCTGCCCCGCGCCAGGCACTTGCAGGCGGACCCAGCTCTGTGTCACCTCACGGCACAAAACCTACAAGACACTGCTGATACCATCCAGCTGATTTTTAGATCATTGTTGCCCTGAGACAAAAACTGTGTCAGGGGCTTTGCACCTGCATCCTAGTGCAAGACATCGCAATAAGCTGCGCCCCACGAGGACGGCCGGTTTCTCTGAGCAGCCGTGGTTTGTCTGGTGCTCTGGTCCAGTGTCTCCTGAGTGGGTGACACTTCATTCCCTGTCATGGATGTGTAATAATGGTTACCAGTAATTTGATAAAGAAGGTCTAGGAATTAAGTTTAGTGGGAATTTCAGGACAAGGGAAAGCTACAAACATGTTGAACTGTTGAGTGTATTTTGGTTAACTGTGGGAAGGGCTGGGACAGCACAGGGTGCCAGAAGGAAGGCGCTCATACATTTTCAGCATTTTTCACAACTTTATAGTACAGCCGTCATGACTAAATTCAGCCACAATTTGGTACCTAAGGCCTCAAACTGAAATTTATTTTTATAAATGAATTTTAAAAGAAAAATATATCTAGTTCCTTTAAAACTACCAAGATAATTAACCTGCTGACAGCAACATTTTTGGATGCTTTTTGCAACTAGTTTTCCTTAGAAGTGACTCAAATGAGTAGGTTGGGTTTTTGATGAAGGTAGATTGGAGGGCAGCTTTGTGTATCTGAAATTTCTCAGTTTCTTTGGCCCATCCCACGTGCTTTATCATTTTGGTGTGCTTGGAATGACCAACCAATTCAAATTGCCATTGATGTTAGGAAAATTAGATGGTACACATACACAGTTTCTTGAAAGGTACAAAACACAAATGCAATCAACACTGTGACAGCACCATTTAACAAAAGGCATGTCTGTCACATTTCATAATACATCAAAATATAGGAACATTTCTGTACTAAGTTAACAGTAATACCTCAGAACTGCTCCAGTAGTAATTTTTAATGGATTGAAATTTTAAATTTAGTAAATGGCTTTAAATTACATAATGAAATAAACTTTAACAGTTGACTAAAGTAATGCATGTTAACAGTCCCGTCTGTATTTGCATGTGAATGTGGGCCACCAGGGAACCCTTCCTGACAATGTAAGCTCAATTAAGTTTATTATTTTTAAAGGCTCTTGTTAAAGGGCTTTAAAAGTTATACCAGGGGAATATCATTTATAAAATTTTCCATGAGACCACTTGAACTTGATACTGCAGTTAGGTGGAAGCCATCTCCTTTGACGGCCACAGGCTTGACCGTCCTCAGTGGTCAAGAGGTCCACTTCCAGGAGAGGAAGTGGTGGTCTGTGGCACATAAACCTGCACCTGGGCAGTGTGCGTTTTGAAATCTAAGAAGCTGAGCCACCTGAATGAGAATTTTGTTCACATTCACAAAGCAAATACCTAGTAACTGCCTTCACCTCTCCGGGTTTATGATACGGTATAGGATGACTTGGGCATTGTGATTACCTCTTCCCAGAGCATCAGAATGTGAATGCCAACCGCATGAACAAGGTTTGCCAGGGGCTTTAAGGAGATAAGTGCAGGTGTGTCCATGTGAAACCGTTTGCAGAAAGTAGCTAAGAAAAAGCCCAGGCACAGTTACTATTGTAGAAGTTAAATTAGCATTATTTTGGGTGCCAAAACAAATGTTTGGATTTAACCCTCTCTCAACGTGACGTGTGCCTGCTCCTCTACATTCTTGAGTTAGCTGATTTCCCATGGAGTGATTCACTAGGAGTTATGGAGCTTGACTTTCAAATCCTTAGCCTAGTCTGATTTCAGAGCCTCCTTTTCTCTCATAAAATAACCTGCAGTGTTTCTCTTTGTCCGTGTTTCCTGCTGCCCAGCTTTTACTTCTGATCCAACAACAAAAATATTGTTGTCTGGCTGGACTCAGTTGATGTCTGATGTGTGCATATCTGAACCCATCCCTCCTCTCATCCAGCTCCCTCCCAGTGTGAGCACCAGTTCCTTTTGTCCCCTCCACCAAGAGTCACCATGTTGGGAACCCTCTGCTTCCCTCCCCATGGTGTAACTTTTTATCAGTGTCAGAGTATATAACAATGTTTGTAAATACTGTAATATATTTATTAATAATTGAAAGGCATTCATTCAGTGGACAATGGGGATTAACTCTCCCAAGGCAAGTGAAAATTAAATAATTTATATGTACATTGACTTAACATTGTCTTACTAGATTTTGAGTCTTAAGCCTTTCAGGTTAAACTAAGAAGGTTGTTAATGTAGGAGTTTTTAAAATGTCTTATGTTTGAAGCGGTTATGTGATTATCACCATGAACTCATACCATGAAATTTTTAAGGCTTTTATTTTTCTAACTATATTAATAAATACAGGACTGGATTTTAGGTGTCATACGGAAACGTGAAAGTTTTAAATCATGTTGCTGTGTGCTAAAGCAGACTAGTGAAGCATTTTGTACGTGCAAAACTGCTGAAGGACCGAGAAGAAATGTGTACTACTGACTGGCTCCCTGTGTGTGTCAGAGTCAGGCATTGTTGGCATTCAGGGTTACAGGATGGTACCAAGTGTTTTCCATTTTATTTTAAGGAAATTTATTTAGGGAAGAATAAAATGGCTTTCATCAGACCTCCTGTGTCGAGTGCCTCTGGTCAGGTGATGCTGTGTGCTTTGGTAACCAGCTGGGAGGAGTCACCCAGGGCCGAAGGCACGACACTCAGCAGCAGCCGCCGGGAGGCCATGTGTCCACAAGGCCACTGTCCACAAGGACGGCCCTGGAAAAACAAACCCCAGAGCTCCCAGACAGCTGTGACTCCTCTCTGTAATCCTGGTAGGGTAGGAAATTAAAATTGTACGAAGAACACATGACATTTATTTAATTATGGAAGTCACATAACCGGAGACCAATTGTGTGTAGGTGAACCTTTTTAAAACAGCTTTATGGAGGTAAACAACAACAAAAACCGTATCTTTTTAATGTGTATGATTTGATGAATTGGGGATGAAATTTTTATATATTCTGCTTAAACAGAATTTTCCCAGGGACATAGTCCTAAAATATGAACTCAGGGAAGTTGTTCTCATATTAACTGAAACAGAGCAGAACACTGTCCCCATGCACACCGGAGACCTTGTGTGATACTGAGTGGGGTATTACTTCACTCACACGAGCTGTCCGCTCAGCTGCCAGGCATTCACTGGTAGCTCCTTGCACTGCAGTTTGCGATGTATGTATCTAGCTCATCTCGTGCCCCAAGGGTCCAGAGATACAGATCTTTTTTTAAAAAAGATTTATTTTATTTATTTGAAAGACAGAGTTACAGAGAGAGGTAGGGACAGAGAGAGAGGTCTTCCATCTGCTGGTTCACTCCCCAATTGGCTGCAATGGCCAGAGCTGCACTGATCCAAAGCCAGGAGCCAGGAACCTCCTTCGGGTCGCCCACGTGGGTGCAGGGGCCCAAGGACTTGGGCCATCTTCTGCTTTCCCAGGCCATAGCAGAGAGCTGGATCAGAAGAGGAGCAGCTGGGACTAGAACTGGTGCCAATATGAGATGCCAGCGCTTCAGGCCAGGGCTTTAACCCACTGCGCCACAGCGCTGGCCCCTCAAATAAATCTTTAGGGAAAAATAAAAGGAAATTGGAGCTGAGAGGTGCATGATCAGCTTGTGTCCAAGTTCCTGGTTGGCCAGCTGTGCTCATGACCTTCCTTTTGTCAGTGATGCTGTGCTCTCTAATGAATTTTTTTTTTTTGGACAGGCAGAGTGGACAGTGAGACAGACAGAGAGAAAGGTCTTCCTTTGCCGTTGGTTTACCCCCACCCCCAATGGCCGCGACGGCCAGCGCACCGCGCTGATCCGGAGCCAGGTGCTTCTCCTGGTCTCCCATGGGGTGCAGGGCCCAAGCACCTGGGCCATCCTCCACTGCACTCCCGAGCCACAGCAGAGAACTGGCCTGGAAGAGGGGCAACCGGGACAGAATCCGGTGCCCCGACCGGGACTAGAACCCGGTGGGCCAGCGCCGCTAAGTGGAGGATTAGCCTAGTGAGCCGCAGCGCCGGCCTAATGAATTTTTTATGATGGCCTGGTGGGTTTCAGTTGGTCTGCCCCATATCTGGAATTCTCCTGCCTGGGCCTGGAATTTTCCTACACAGATCCTCCAGACAGTACTGGCCTACAGGGTTTTATCTGTTGGAGAACCAAATGACTTCTGGAGTCAGTTATTAGAACCTTGTTGGGACAGTTGTCTCACTCCCTCAGTTCAGTGAATTCCTTTTGATAAAGGACAGGCAAGGACACCTTGGGCTGAGGGAGACAGATGAGACTGGGTCCTGCCTTTACATTGGAGGGGTTTAGTCCACACACACACTGCTAATAAAGGGTGCAGCCCTTCTTCCCTCCTGTCAACCAAAGCACATGTCTAGAAACTTCACCCTTTGCCCCCACAAAAAAAGTAGCATAAAAGTTTACCTGGGGCTGGAGCTGTGGCATAGCAGGTAAAGCCGCTGCCTGCGGCACTGGCATCATATATGGGCACCAGTTCCACTCCCAGCTGCTCCATTTCCTATCCAGCTCCCTGCTAATGTGCCTGGGGAAACAGCAGAGGGTGGCCCAAGTGCTTGGGCCCACATAGGAGACCCGGAAGAAGCTGCTCACTCCTGACTTTGGATCAGCTCAGCTCTAGCCATTGCAGCCACTTGGGGAGTGAACTAGCAGATGGAAGATGAATCAATATCTCTCTCAGTATCTCTCTCTTCCCCCTTTCAAATATATATATATTTACAAAAGCTAACCTGTTTAATATAAAACTCTTCCTATTGGAGCGAGCAGTGTGGTGTGGCGGGTTAGGCCACTGTCTGCATTGCCGGTGTCCCAGCTGCTCCACTTAGGATCCAGCTCCCTGCTGATGTGCTTAGGAAAGCAGCAGAAGATAGCTCAATTGCTTGGGCCCCTGCACCCATGTGGGAAACCAGGAAGAAGGTGGCTCATGGCATCAAATCAGCTGAGCTCCTGCCATCGCAGCCATTTGGGGAGTGAACCAGCAGATGAAGATCTCTCCCTCTTTTAACTCTACCTTTCAAATAAAATATGCTTTAAAAATTAATAATAAAACTCTGTCTACAATAAGAAAGTATTCAGATGCAGTTCCTAGAAGACACAGCCTGTACCACTAGTCTCCCTATTTAAACTATACATGAAGTTATCCAGTTACTTGGAATAGATGTTTTACCACAAGGACATTCTGCAGCTCTGGCCAAATTGGAACCCATGTTGTGGAAACTGGAAGTCAAAGGGTTCTGAACTGACAGGATGGAGCTCTCCAGAGGGGCATCGAGAAGCCCTCTACCTCCCTGGGGCTGGGAAGCGCAGGCAGCATCTGGGTGTTTGACACACTCTGGCCCTCTGGGTCACGTGCCCTGAGCGCTCTCCCAGCAGCTGTAGTGAGTCTGAGGGGCGCTCTTCCCAGGTGTGGCTGGAGACAGCCTTGAGCAGGCGCTCACTAGATGTCTGCTGCTCTCACTTTCTGCTGTGCCGTGCTGTTCCCTTTCCAGCTGCAGCTGTCACTTACCCTGGCCGGCCTCCACCCCCAGGCTCCTTCCCATGGGCACGGGTGCTGTTTTCCAGAAAGTACAAATGCAAAGATGCAGAGGGCTGTGCTGCACCACTTTGCACACGTAGGTGTTGAGCAGCACAGAGGACACTGTGGGAAGCCAGTGGAGGAGCAGGGAGGGAGGCCCAGGGGCTGCCAGGGGACTCGAACTGTGCAGCATCTGCAGCATGAAGCCCAAATGGGTGGGCAGCAGAGTAACTCCCCAAAGGGGAAGAGGCCTAAGAAGTCAGCTTGTCTACCCACCAAGGGCAATCCTGCCACAAACTCCCAGTCATGGTGGGACGCCAAGTGTACAGAATCTACACTTGGACTAAGCGCCCAGCCGGAGCAGTGGGACTCCCCCGCCTTGGCCTGACGCACTCCTGCGGGCACAGCGTGGTGACACCAGACCCCTCTGTTCTAGAACTGTGTTCAGCAGAAACTTCTTTAGAGCCCAGGGACTTCTGACCTGATAAGTGAAAACAAAAGCCAAAAACCTAGGCTGTGAGCAGCGAAGTGGGTTCTTTTCAGCAATGCCTGGTTTTCCAGTATGGGAAGAGGTCTCACAGTTGTCCTGCAACTCTGCACCCTACAGTGCCTGAACAGTGCCAGGTTTGTTGCTTCAGGGTTAAAGTGAGGGTGTCAGGCTGGGTGGTTTTTAGGTCACTCCTACCCAGAAGAGAGCACTCAAGAGAGGACACCACAGGCACCCACCAGAGAATACACTGAAACCTGAGCCACACGTCACCCTGGAGAAGAATCTTTGTGGAAACCAAGCCACCATTTTCCTCGCGTGGAGTGTGAAATGACTGATGGCCGTACCTCTGTTGATGACAAACCTAGTTATGAATATTGCATGGAAACAAGAAAAAGTGCGACATGCCACATTTATTTGAAACGCAAAGTAAATTCTGTTTTATTAATTGCTATCAAGAAGCTGAGTCAATCTTTCAAAATTCAAAACGGAAAACCTCCAGGAAGAGGAGTGGACTGCGTTTGCACAGCCGTTTCGCGTTGCCTCGGCCCAGTCACTGGCGGTTCATCTCAGCTCCTCTTGGAGGAGAGGCCTCTGCTGGCCTTGGCAAGAGCAGGCACCTGGCACTTTGTTCCCAACCTGTAATGTCTGCGCCCTGTCAGATGCCGAGAGAAGCGAGGGACTGCGCAGGCGACTACCTGTGACAGGCCGTTCTCATTCTGCAGCGTACATCAGGATGCTCATTGAGCAAGAGTGAAGGCAACTGTTGCTACCCAGCGTGGCCGAGGGCAGCCAGCACGGCTGCAGGTGCACTGCCGTGTGTGTTGTTGGGGGGGCGGGGGGGGAGCCCCAGCGGGGAAGCTGGCCGCCTCAGCCCTCACCACTGCCTGACGGCTCTGCTCACAGACTTGGCCTCTGCAGTTCCTTCAGAGCTGAATGCGATCCCAGGCGACACCCCGTCCACCCAGAGCCAGCAGCAGGCGTCTCCCCACTCTGGCCGTGTGACAGCCGCCTGCGTGTAAACGGGCCCAGGATGAGGCACACTTATTCTCTGCAAAGTTCCGTCTGACGAAGTCGAGTGGTTGAGCAGTCTGCCCCCGTGTAACTTACTACCTCCCCCTGTCTACTCGCTGGTGCTGCACACGTGCCTGTAAACACCACCATCCCGTCCACGACGCTTCCTTAAGCGGCCCCTGGACCCTCATCTGCACTCCTACACTTGCGCCTCCCCGCCACTCCTGCAGTCTTTTCCATTGCACTTGGCCACTAGCAGCCTACTATTCTGTCCCATGAAGAGAAGGATCTTTGTCATGTCTTCTCTACCATAGCCCCCGTTTCTGAAAGGAAAACACACCTGGCATGTGACATGTGCTCGATAAATGTGGCATGGGTGAACAAATGAATGAGTAGTTTCAATACAGAAATGAGTGAGAAATACAAACATGGAACCATCAAGATGGCTTCCAGACACCAGCCTCGAGTGCCCTGAGCAGACACGGGCAGCATCCGGCCCTGCAACTTCCCTTCAAGTCAGGAGGTTACATCTACGCCAACTTCCTGCCGCCCTGAAACAGTGAATGCCCATAGAGAGCTTGAGTGGCAGCACCTGCTGCTGGCAGGACCCGGCCCACCAGCCCGGGGCTCCCACCCCAATCATGCGTTCCTCTCTGGCTCCCTTCCACCTCCACAGTGCCTGGCTGCAGGGACCCTGCACAAGCTCAGCCTCCTCCATTAACAAATGTATGCGCGGATGGACGGACACCCTGAAGATCTGTCATAGAAACTGCTCTATAAACACGAAGGGAGTCTTTATCACTACTGAGTTCTCACTCATTAATTTTTAACTACCTGCCTCTTTCACAGTAGGGTAGTTAACTCTTTTCTTTTTAATGATTTATTTTGTTTACTTGAAAGAGTTACACAGAGAAAGGAGGAGAGGCAGAGAGAGAGAGAGAGAGAGAGAGAGAGAGGTCTTCCATCCACTGGTACACTCCCCAATTGGCCGGAGCTATGCCAATCTGAAGGCAGGAGCCAGGAGCCTCCTCCAGGTCCCCCACGTGGGTGCAGGGACCCAAGGACCTGGGCCATTTTCCACTGCTTTCCCAGGCCATAGCAGAGAGCTGGATTGGAAGTGCAGCAGCCAGGACCTGAACCAGTGCCCATATGGGATGCCAGCATTACAGGCGGCAGCTTTACCCACTATGCCACAGCGCTGGCCCCGGTAGTTAACTTACTAGTAATCATAGTTTGGCAAATGCTTTATGCCAGTTATGCCAAGATAAATATTATTTCAAAAATCAAGGTAGGCATTCGATCTAGTTGGGATGCTTGCATCCCATATTGGAGTGCCTGGGTTCAGGTCCTGGTTCTGCTCTCCATTCCAGCTTCCTGCTAATGCAGACCCTGTGAGGTAGCACTGAGGCTCAAGTGGCCAAGGCCCTGCCATCCACATAGGCAACCCAGATGGAGCTCCTGGCTTTAGCCTGTGCCAGCCCCAGCCACTGCAGGCATTTGGGGCGTGAACCAGCAGATGGAAGGCTCTCTTTCTCTCTGTATCTTTAAAAAATTGTTTTTATATTTCACACTTGTCATATTAAGACCCTTTGGGGGCTGGCACCGTGGTGTAGCAGGTAAAGCTGGGCCTGCAGCGCCGGCATCCCATATGGGCACTGGTTCGAGACCCAGCTACTCCACTTCCGATCCAGCTCCCTGCTAATGCACCTGGGAAAGCAGTAGAAGATGGTCCAAATCCTTGGGCCCCTGCACCCACGTGGGAGACCCAGAAGAAGCTCCTGGCTCCTAGCTTCAGATCAGCGCAGCTCCAGTCTTTGCTGCCATCTGGGGAGTAAACCAGCAGATGGAGACATCTCTCTCTCTCTCTCTCTCTGTTTCTGCCTCTCTGTAACTGCCTTTCAAATAAATAAATTTTTAAAAAAAGAGCATTTGACCAATAAAGAAAACTATGAAAACAACCTTTGTGATATTAGATATTCTGTGCGGAGTATGTTACTGTTAATATCTAACTTTACACATTCTGGCTGATTTCGAGTAGCCGACAGCTACCAGTGGTTGAGCAGATCAGACGCAGCTAGTCACCCTCAGCCTGGCAGCTCCTTAACCCTCAGCCCTGATGCCCTGTGGTACTGACAAAGAACTCGGCACTGCTAAGTGTGGCATGTGCCACCAGCCAGTGTGGACCCTGAGTGTGCCCATTCCCAACCACTACTAACTGCTATGATTCAGAATTCAGTCCCCAACCCACTAAAGCACTCAGTAAACACTCACAACCATGCATGCCAAGTAGACCTTGGCTCTTGTAGAGCTTTAAGTATAAATGGTCAAATGCACATGCAATTAGCTTAAAACACAGTGTAAGGCAATCTAGATCTCTAGGAAGTGAGCAGAAGCCCTGGGACTGTGAGGAGCTGTCAGTGCAGGACAGCGCCGCTGAAATGGATTTAAGGGGGCTGCAGGGGAGGGCGGGGCCCGGGTTTCTGCAAGCTCCATCTGATGACTCCCTGCGTCAGTCATCTCTGCCAGCACCTCAACTTGGTTAGGGCTTACTTCAAAAAGGAATGCAAAACCCCACGAAGCTGTGTCCTCAAGGAACGCTACGACCGCAGCGCTCTGGCGTAACCTGACAGCAGGTGGAACAGCAGGAAAGGGACACCAGATAGAACGTGAGCTACAGCGCAGTGGGTGAAGCCACCCCCTGCAGTGCTTGCAGCCCATGTGAGCACCAGTTTGAGTCCAGGCTGTTCCACTTCCGATCCAGCTCCCTGCTAATGCACCTGGGAAAGCAGTGGAAGATGGCCCAAGTGCTTGAGTCCCTGCCACCCAATGTGGGAGACCTGGATGGAGCTCCAGGCTCCTGGTTCCTGGCTTCACTCTGGCCCGGCCCCAGCAACTGCAGCCATTTGATGAATGGACCAGTGGATGGAAGATTCTCTCTTCCTCTCCCTCTCCCTCTCCCCCTCCTCTTTCTCTGCCTTCTCCCTCTGTTTATCTCACAGTGTAACTCTGCCTTTCAAATAATCTTAAAAAAAAAAAAAGATGATGTACTAATTACTATTGCTGAATCACAAATCACTGTACAACTGTGGCTTGAAATAAGAAACGTTTATTATCTCACAAGGTTCTGTGGTGCCCCCGAGGTGGCGCCATCATGTGGCTGCTGGCCGCAAGGGCCTCCCTGGAGGCTTCCTGAGCGTCCTTGTGAGACAGTGAGGAGAGCGAGAACCAGCCCCGCCTAACCCGCAGTGTCCCTTCTGACCCGGCCACTGGAGTCACACGCCACCATCTCCAGCACGCTCAGATTCCACGATCACGGGCCAGCCCTCAGCAGGCAGGACACAGCCCACAGCAAGGTCACAGGCACAGCTCCCCAGGGCCATCGTGAAAGTGGCTACCCCAGGCCATAAGCCCCAGAGCAGAGCAGGGCAGTCAGAGCTAGAGCTGGCTTGGGACCTGAAGGGAATGTTGTGTTACCAAACAGAGGAAGCAGGAGTGCAGTTTCGCCGTGATGTGGGGAACAGAGGCAGCATTAACTAGAAATGGGGAAAGGAGAGCAGTCGGATGTGGGGGAACGGGTCCTGCTGGGTTTAAGTGCACCCAGAAATGAAGAGGGATCCCCAAGCAAGGGGTCGACAAGCTTTCTGGAAAGGACCTATTGTAAATACAGCAGGCTGTGGGACCCCATCACTCTCAGTCATATGTCCTTCCAAAGGGGGGCATTTACAACCCAGTAAAAACACACAGACCACCTTGGCATGGGCTGAACAGAAACAGGTGCAGGCTGTGGGCGTCCGGCCCCGCCCCGGGTCACAGAGCCCCAGCAGGCCGGACCACACCAGGACCGACTGCTCACCAGTCACGGGATACAGTTTTACTGCAGTTAACTCTTCCTAGGACTAAAGCTTTTAAAAATACCCTCGCTTAACAATCACCTGGTGATCTCCCCCCAGCCACCAGGCAGCCTGAGCAGCTGGCCTCCACCAGTAATCACCGCACCAGGAGCTGGGTGCCCACGCTGCCAGCACCAGGGTGCTGTACCTGCTGTGTGGTTTGCTCAGCCCCGGGCAGGGTTAGCATCCGCATTTCACAGATGTGGAACCCAAAGCGTGACAGTCACGGGACCTGCCCAGGCTTGCTCATGCACCCCAGACAACCACCTCGCCGCCAGCAATGATTCCTTAGCCGCCTCCCTTTGGAGACTGAAGTTAAGCCAGGGCCTGCGAAAACCTCCTCTTACCACAGTGGGCGTGCGCCAAGGCTTAGCCATAACAGAGATTTGCACAGGATGACTCCGGGGGCGGGGCTCACAGCAGAGACACCGCCCCTTCCCAAAAGTGGGGGTAGAAAGGCCACAGGCAAGGATCTCCATTCCTTAGAAGTCAAAGAGCCACTGGCTCAAATCCAAAGCTGCTCTAATGTTTGCTTCTAATGCCAAATGGCAAGAGGGGGTGGGCAGTTCCACCCCTCTTCCTCCAGGAAAGGCAGGCTGATCTCAAAGCGCTCCTGGCACTGCCCCCACAGAGGCCACCCCACCAAGGTCAAAGCCCCAGGGCACAGACTCCAGGAAGGTCCGACAGGCTCCCAAAACCCAGCCTATATAAGAGAGAACTCAGGGTGGCCGGTGGCCTTGTGGTTAAGGTGCCAGCCAGGACATTCAGGTCCTCCACCAGAGTGCCTGGCTGTGAGTCCCAGTTCCAGCTCTTGGTCCAGCTTCCTCACGATTCTGACCTCTGGAGACAGCAGCGGTGACCCAGCCCCCACTGCTGCGGGTCTCTGGGGAGGGAACCAGCAGATGGGAACTGTCTCTCTGCTTCTCAATTAAATAAAACTTTTTATAAAGCAGGCCAGGTTCCTCTTGAACGTCATCCGGCAGTTTCCGGCTTGTGGGAGGGGTTGACACAGTAGCCGGTGTGCTCAGCTCCCGCTTCTGCCAAACTCAAGGGACCGAAATGAAGGCCAGGCTGAGTTCTGAGCTTGTTCTCAGCTGCTCTCCTGGGCGTCTCTCAGCATCCACGTGGGACCGGTTCCAGGCGGCCCCACATGCTGAAGACAGCAAATCGGCGGATGCTCAAGGCACCTCGGTGGACAGCACAGCATCCACGCACTCCCCCACGCCTCCTTCAGTGAAGACACAAGTAAGGAGAGATTATATCCCATTTTGTGTTCCAAAACAAAAAGGAAATGGGGATATTTTGCATTATTTGTTGTGCATGTACAATAAAAAAAAAATCTAGCTCCTGAATTAAACCCAAGCTGTGGGATCCATGGAAGATAATGAAATTGGAAAACAAGAAAAAATGGGGCACACCTGCAGCTCGAGGCCCCTGGCCCCAGCAAGGACCCAAGGTGCCCTATAGGCCCGCAATGGCAGGTGTGCTGGGGGGAGGTGGGCTCTGCTGGTGGGGGTTGGGGCAAGCCCGGCCCAGGACCCCAGGGGATAAATCTCCAACAGCCTCCCTTCAAAAACAGCCAGGGAGGTGAGGCAGCCTCGCCCCCGGGGCAGGGCTCCCGAGGAGTGCCCCCTTGCCTTCATTTGGGTATTCCAGACTCAGGGCAAATTAAAATAACTTCCTACTCAGTTAAAAAATAACAAAGAAATGAAATCTTCCCACCACGGAAGCTAAATTGGTGAGAGCCAGGAGGAGGTAGTGCATCACCGCCTTCCTCCTGCCCCCGTGGGTCTTCAGGCAGACCCAGCCTGCGGCCGCAAGCACCCTCACAATACAGGCGCAGGGCACGCCGTGCCGGGCCAGCTCCGCTCGAACCCTGCTGGGTGGCTGCAGTCTCAGGCGCTCTGCACCGACAGGTCCTCCACGTCGTCCAGGTCCGCGTTGAGGCGGCCGATCACCCACTCCAAGGCCTCCCGACCCTGCGAGAGAACAGTGCCGCTGTGGTGACCTGGAAGGAGACCTGGCCTGCACCCCTCGGACTTGTGTTCTAGAACATCTGCCCCCGGGGCACCCCAAGATGTGAGGCTGCCGGTGCCAGGGCGCCCAGTGAATACGAGAGGGACAGCACTGTTGAGAGATGCCCAGAAGCCCTAAAACTCCATCTCCCCGCAAAATACCCAAGGGCTGTGTGTAAGCCCTCAGCACTGGGGAGGATGAAAGTCGGGCCACCCTTTCTGACACTGTCCCTGCTTCAGACATCACACATGTCTCCCTGTAGAACAGAACCAGCTGTGTGAGTCGTCTCATAATTTCATAAGCAGAGAGACAGAAAGATTTCCCATCCGCTGATTCACTCCCCAGACCCCTGCAAAGGCCAAGGCTGGGCCAGGCCAAAGCCAGGAGCTGGAAACTCCATCCAGGTCTTCCTCAGGATGGTAGAGACCCAGTTACTTGAGCTGTCACCTGCCTCCCAAGGTCTGTGTTAGCAGGAAGCTGGAGTCAGGAGCGGGAGCCAGGAATCAACCCAGGCACTGCAAGGTGGGCCAGGCCGAGTACCAGCCCCGTGACAACTTTTACACTACCTCCATGAAGTCCCAGCTCCCTCGACACAAGCAGTGTAAGAGGTGGCTGGCCACTAGAGATGGCGTCTAGGGGATGGCTGGTGGCCCAGGGAATCCCCAATGGGCCCACTGCCTCCTGGAGGCCCGGCAGACCCCAACACCCTGTGAGCGAGGGAGGAGCCGTGGGTGTCCTCGGCCACTGACTCTCGGGTGCTATGTGGCTGCTCCTCCAGAGGGGCTCTTGGAGACAGAGCGGTGCAACAGCAGGGAAAAAGACACGAAACGGAATACACAGTACAATCCCATCTGAATTTAATAATGGAAGGAAGAGAAAAAACCACAGCGACACTTTCCCACGCATAGGGCATTCCTGAAGGCTTTGCAAAACAGAGCAGTCGGCTGAGGAGAGGGGCCCTCACTCCTCAGCAGACACCTGCACTTTTTTTTTTTTACCATAAATATGTATTGTTTTGTATTTTTCTTTAAATTAATGCTGTTTTAAACATTTTTTATTTTAAAATCATGGAAAAAAGACTTTTTTTGCCTTTGTCGCTCAAAAATGCCCCAAAACTGCCACGAGACAAACAGGGAATAGAAATTTCAGGAACTTAAGAGGCCTCAGCAACTGCAAGCCAGCAGGTGCCGCTGGAATGCAGAGGCTGCTGGGTGCCATAGGGAAGGCAGTCGCGGGCCCCTAGGCCCAGCCTGCCCCAAGCGAGGCAGGGGACAGGCAGGCGGGGGTCCTCCCCAGCTGGCAGAAAGGGCAAGCAGGCCCTGGGGCCCCTCCCTGCTCCCCAAGGGGCGGAGGAGTCTTGTCAGAAACGGAACCAATAGAAAGAGATTTACAGGGATGCCGGGAGAAGGCGGCGGGCCACAAGGCCCCCGACAGGGGGGCAGGCAGCTGGCTCCCCACTCAGGGCTCACTCCCGTGGGTACCTCAGTCTCAACAGAGTCTGAGCAAGGGGACTGTGAGGGGCACAGAGGAAGGCAGGAAGCCACTGCGTTGCAAAGTACGGACTGTGGCAGCACAAGCGGGGGGAACGGGTCACATGGCGTCAGCTGAGGGGGCAGAGATGTCCTTTAGCAAGATCCCAAGAGTTGGCAGAAAAGAGGCGGGGCAGAGCAGGCAAAGGTTGGAGAGCAATCCGTCCAGGCAGCGGTGCAGGGTCGGGGTCCCCGCACAGGATCGGCGGGCGGGGGGGCTGTGCGGCCTTGTCCTCCTGACGGCGGAGCCTTCGCCGGTCCTAGGGTGGCGCCCACGACCTGGGAGGTCGCCCTGCAGGACCCCCGGGGGGGAGGACATGACCACAGGACAGGCGACGCCAGCAGACAGACCCCTCTCCACAGCCACACTCGCTGCATTAGGCTTGCTTTCCTTCCGTCCCATGAGGTGGGCGCCATCCGCCGCCCAGTGCATTTGCTGACTCGGGTCGAGTGAGTGCATGCGCGCGGGGGCAGACAGTCGGTGGGACGCGGGGCCCAGGGCAGCCCTGCATAGCGCCCAACAGGGACACGGAGCTCCCAGGCAGGAGGGCGAGGAGCCCTGACACAGAGCGGGCACCGAAAGGCGTTTCCTCCTGAAGCAGGAAGACCCCCGAGGTGAGGCTGCCCAATCGCGTTGATTCCCTGCTGACCGTCCGGCCGCTGGGGCCCGAGGAAACCAAGGAGTGGTCGGGAAGCTCCAGTAAACGCCAGGAATGGCTTTGGCTACTAAGAGGATGTGGCCAGCGCTGGCCACGTGGCTGAGCTCTGGCTTGCTGCGGGTGAAGAGAGGGGCACACGTGCGAATTTGCTCAAAATGAAACCGCCGCACCCCACCCATCAGATCAGTCTAGAACACTCTCTGGGCCTCCCGACGGAAGCTTCTGGCTGTGCACCAGTTAGGAGGAACGTTCTGGCACCCAAGGCCTCGGAAGGGCCGGCGGGAGCCACTGGGCCGCCTTCTTCTGATGCTAGGGCACAGCTCCAGCTTCCGCAGAAAACGAACCCTGCCATGGACCGGGGAAGGACTAAGAGGATGCGCCCAGGGGCTTGTCTCACCTGGCAGACACCAAGGAGCCCAGGCTGGAGGCCAGCATGCAGCCGCGTGGCTTCCACGTCCGCCCAGCCCACAGCCCACGCCCGCAGCGGCGATCTTGCCAACGTCCTGCCCCGCTCAACCGCGCCGTAGTTACCGCCGCTTATCCCACGAGCCCGGTGCGGCCGCCGTTAGCTCACAGCGCTCTCAGAGTTTTCAATTATCCACTCAATAGCGGCCCACCCCTGCAACAACACAGAAAGACGGCGACGTGGGGGGACACCGCAGCCGGGAAGCACCGCACAGGGCCCCGGATGAGCAGCTGGTCCCAGGGGCAGGCTGCTCCTCCAGCTGCCGCAGGGGCCCCATTGCCTTAGCAAACCAACCCGGCCCCTCAGCAGAGCACAGAGGTCCCCATCCTAACTCCCCGAAGTCCGGGCCGCAGGCAAGCACCAGGCCGACACCTCCACCTGCACCTCCATCCCATCTCCTGCTCCAACCACAGCAAGAGAGGTGACGTCAAACAGGGACTCCAGCTACTGGATGGCTCCTGTCCTCTGCGGGCGGCAGGCAGGGCTGCGCTCTTAAGCCTGGGATAAGCAAAGAGAGCCTCAGCCTTTACTCTGATTTCTTCTCATAAGTCAGCTGCGGAGGCTCTGGCCTCACCAAGTACTCACGTCCTCCAAAAGAATCTTGCGCAGCAGACACCAAGGGCCCTAAGCCAAGCCCCGCAACCTTCAAGACGGTCAGGATTCTGCCTCCCCTGCGAGGGCTGCTGTGTGTGGCCTCTGTGGCCACACCTGGGCCAAGCTCATTGCTGCCCAAGTTTCTCAGATCTGGGTTTTCCCGCATACTTGGTTAGACTGGCTCTTCACCCGGTGACCAGCCGGGCACGAGTCGTCACCAGGTGCCAGCAGGTGGCCACTTAGCACAGAGGCAAGGAGGGAAGGAAGGGCAGCCTCAGGCTTCAGCCGCCGTCCTGGAAACAAAGCTCCACTCTTGACCAAAGAAAGGAGAGCAGGAGGGGCAGAGGCTAAGGGGAGGTCATGCAGCGGGAGGTGCAGGAAGCACCGAGCTGAGGCCCTGCCCGGGCGAGCAGCACCTCCCGGAGTGAGAGGCTCGTGTCTGCCAAACACTCAGGCCTCTGCCATCAACTCTGTAGAGGGGACAGCAACCCAGACTGTCAGTGTCTGCCTCCGCACCAGTGACCCGGCACCCATGGAGCCAGCCCATGGCCAGCTTCCTGCCATCCATCCTTCCTCCTCTCCCCGTCAACTCATGCCAGTGGGGAGCTCTGCTAAACCACTTGATGCCTGTGGAACACCAAGCTCCTGAGAGCCCAGGCAGAGAATGCCTCTTCTCTCTCCAAAGCTGTGGTCTACTTGGCTTGGTTCCTGAGCCTCTCTGCTCCTTGGGCTCTTGGCCAGGTTTTTGCTCCAGGCCCACCTCATGCTTTTGCTGAGAAGGGCAGTAGTAACCCTCAAGCTCCCTTGGCTTCCCTAGCCAGGGCCTTTTCACACTAACTGTAGCGTTATGAGCTCGGATGTGGCATTAAAAGCTCAGCTCCAGGCTGACAGTCCCAGCGCTCAGGAAGACTCAGGAGAGCTAACTGCCACTTCATCTGACTCCTTCCATCCGAATCACACACAGGGCAGCTAGGACCAAGGCACTCACCTTCTTTGCATTGGACGATATCGTGTTGGCCATTAAACTTTCCAGGTAGCTGCCAAGGCTAATGCCCTTCACGGTGATAATGGCTTCTTGTGTGAGCACGGTCCTGCGGAAGTACAAGAAGTGAAGGGGCTGACCAGGCCTGGGAGAGGGGCGGCCCCGCCCTGCCCTCCCCCTTGTTGTTCAATGCAGCAAGCCCAGGAGGAGATGGCTCACATGTCAGGGTTCTCTGGGTGGGGTGTATACACCAACCTCTCATTAACTGACACCAAATTTGTGAGTGTGATCTTAAAAAAAAAAGGGAAAGAAACAATGGCTTTAGGTTCTATTGCACTTGAGTCTCTTCCCAACCCACCGCCCCTAGTTGTCCACCCCCAAATGAGCACTTATTGGGGTCAGCACAGAAGACACCTTTAGGCACAGGAGGTGCCACCATATTCAGTTCTAGGGAAACCAGAGCTTAGCGGACAGTCACCTGCCCTCTTATCATTCCCCATGCCCACCCCTAAGCAGGGATCCAGCTGTCACAGCAACTTTCAAGGTAAAGGACAAAACAGTCCCCAGGATCCACATAAAGGGGCAGAAAGCTTTCCAAGCCCCACCGGTGCCAGAGCCTGGTGTTGGAGCATCATCCTGAGGACTGGACAGATAGACGGAGTTCACAAAGACTGCAGGGGGTCTGGTCCCCCGCAGCATGGCTTCCTGTGAACAGTCTAATGTCTCCTGTGCATTTTATCGTCTGTTAAAGCCAATTTACAAGCTGGAGCTCTAGGACCGCACCACCCAAGCTAGAGTTTCTGTGCTGGCAACGCCCTGCTCCTGTGCAGCCAGATGCAGTGCACACACACACATACGCACACACACGCACGCACACACACACACGCAGCTCATCCACACCTGAGAAGTGGCGAGTGTGACTGGGGAACAGGATGTTTTTATTTTATTTTTTAAAGACTTTATTTATCTGAAAGAGAGAGGAGAGACTGAAAGAGCTCTTTCATCTGCTGGTTCACTCCCCAAATAGCTGCAATGACCATGGCTGAGCCAGGCTGAAGCCAGAAGCCTGGAACACCATTCTGGTCTCCCACATGGGTACAAGGCCCAAAATCTTGGGCCATCTTTGACTGCCTCCCCAGGTGCATTAGCAGGGAGCTGAATCATGGGCAAGAGCTGTGGCATAGCAGGTACAGAAACAACATCTGTTCTGGCATGCTGCCAGAAACACATCCAATAGGAGCACCAGTTCGAGTCCCGGCTCTCCACTTTGACCCAAACTGCCTCCTTGTAACTTCAGCAGCAGGATTGCTGGGACGAGGGTCCAGGACAGGGCAGGGCAGGGGGCGCATTGCACTGGGCAGGGCGTATACCCACAGCACCGACAGCCTGGAAGCTCTGGCTAGGGGCTGAGCCACTGGTCCTCAAAGCCTCTTCAAGGATCAGAGACACCCTCACGGGCAAGAGCTCCATTTCTGTCTTAGACACTGGTCCCACTAAAGCTGCTGGGAGGAGGGAGTGTCCCTGGGGCTACTGGGAGCACTGCTGCCACCCCAGGCCCAGGTCCCTCCCACCCTCAGCTGCAGACCTAGACTCTGCTACCTGCTATGCACAGTCATCCTGCAGGGCCTTCACACTCACGACATCAAATCCTACCACTCTCTTCTCCAATCCAGGACAGCCCCCCACTCAGCCTGGTGCCCACATCAGGGAGCGGAGTCACACTGCGGCCCCTCCTGCTCCCTTGCTCCCCAGGTGTCCCTCCGCAGTCACTAGCTGTCCACACCCCCAGGCCACCTCCTGCTTCCTGTCACCTGCACTGCCGCAATACCACCGCCCTACTGACCCTTCCAGCTGAGGTCCCGACACCTCCAGCCTCTCTCCACAAGGCCACCAGGAGGGCAGTCCCAACACACAATCCAGTTATGTCACCTTCTTCCTGTAACCAACATGCAATGGCTGCCACTGCACACACAGGGGTCAGTTCCTCTGCCCTCTGTGATTCTGTCCCTGCCCCCTCCAGCCTCCACACACACACACACACACACCCCTGCCGCCGCCACACACTCCACCTTCTTCTTGGTCTCTGAGAGACCACGAGGCTTGCGGCCCTCTGAGTGGCCCACGCACCCTCAGGTTCAAGGGGCCACTGCTAGTCTCTCTGAAAATCCTGGCATCTGCAAGCCCAGCCTCCCTGTTAGCTCCCCGTGAGGTTCCGAGTGGCAGCTTCGGGATGCCTCTCCTCACCGTCTGCGTGGTCTAACTCTGTCCACCCATGGGACCCTAACAGCGAGGCCAGACACCTTCCAGTTGCTGACTTTCCTAGCACTAGGACAACGCCTGGCTTCTGGCTCATGGTAGGCCTGACACTGCTGCTGGAACCAACACATGAACAATGACTCGAACCAGTGCCATGGTGCTGGGGACAAAGCAGGTGGCCAGATGAGGGGGACTCGTGAAAGAGGGAAAAGCCCTGCACAGGCACTGTTAGGATTTCACCCACATTTGCTCATTCCTATGTCTATTTAAAATAAAGAATATTTTAGGAAATGAACCATTTTCCTAGCCCTCGCGTGGTTCCCAACATGCTCTTTGGATCCACAAAAGGCCAATATACGTTCTTTAATTGAGAGAAGTGAAGGGGGGAAAGTGGCTTTAAAAATGACTGCCCAGGGCCAGCGCTGTGGTGTAGCAGGTAAACCCCACCTGAGGGGCCAGCATCCCATATGGGCACCAGTTTGAGCCCTGGCTGCTCCACTTCCAATTCAGCTCCCTGCTAATGCGTCTGGGAAGGCAGCAGAGGCTGGCCCAAGTGCTCAGACCCCTGCCCCCATGTCAGAGACTCAGATGAATCTCCTGGGTCCTAGCTTTGGTCTGGCCCAGCCCCAACTATTGCAGCCATTTGGGGAATGAACCAGTGGATGGAAGACTTTTCTCTCTGTCTCTCCCTCTCACTGTAACTCTGCCTCTCAAGTAAGTAAATAAATCTTAAAAAAAAAAAAAAAATGCTCGGCCGGCGCCGCTGCTCACTAGGCTAATCCTCCGCCTAGCGGCGCCGGCACACCAGGTTCTAGTCCCGGTCGGGGTGCCGGATTCTGTCCCGGTTGCCCCTCTTCCAGGCCAGCTCTCTGCTGTGGCCAGGGAGTGCAGTGGAGGATGGCCCAAGTGCTTGGGCCCTGCACCCCATGGGAGACCAGGAGAAGCACCTGGCTCCTGGCTCCTGCCATCGGATCAGCGCGGTGCGCCGGCCGCAGCGCGCCAGCCGCGGCGGCCATTGGAGGGTGAACCAACGGCAAAGGAAGACCTTTCTCCCTTTCTCTCTCTCTCACTGTCCACTCTGCCTGTCAAAAAAAAAAAAAAAAATGCTCAAGGGATAGGCATTTGACACAGCAGTAAGGGCGCTGCTCAGAATTCCTGTATCAGATACCATATCAGAATCCCAGCTCCACAGCCGGTTCCAGCTTCCTGCCAGTGTACAGCCTGGGAGTCCGCAGGCTATGGTGTAAGTATCTAGACCCTTGCCACCCAAGTGAAAAACCTAGAATGAGTTCCAGGCTCCTGGTTTCAGCCTGGCCCAGCCCTGGTTGTTGGGGGCATTTGGGGAGTGAACCAACAGATGAAAGATCTCTTTCTCTTTCAAGTAAACACAAATAAGTAAATAAATAAATTTTAAATGATTGTTCAAGTCATCTCTGCTGCTGGGAATCAGTACAGTGGCTACGGGGTGGGGTGTGGGGGGGGATCAGTGCCCCTTGGGGGAGCTGGCCACATTCTGTGGCTGGACCTGCCTGCTGGTTCCACAGTGTGTGTACTTTCTTTTTTTCTTTTCTTTTTTAAAGATTTATTTATTTGAAAGGCAGAGTTACAGAGAGACACAGAGAGAGGTCTTCCATCTACTGGTTTAGTCCCCAAATGGCTGCAACAGCAGGAGCTGGGCTAATCCAAAGCCAGAAGCCAGGAGCTTCTTCCAGGTTTCCCACACAGGTGCAGGGGCCTAAGGACTTGGGCCATCTTCTACTGCTTTCCCAGGCCATAGCAGAGAGCTGGATCGGAAGGAGAGCAGCAAGGACTAGAACCAGCGCTGATATGGGATGCCAGCACTGCAGGTGGCTTTACCCACTACGCCACAGTGCCAGCCCCCGTGTGTGCACTTTCTAACAATCTATCGTTATGTACATTTTTCTCTATGTTTTTACACTTGAATAAAAAGATAAATACAATACTGCTAAATAAAGTCATTTTTCTATTTAAAAAACAAGTAATCACTTAGATCAGAGGCAGGCTGGAAATCAAATCAAGTGAAGGCATTACGCACCATCACCAAGAAACACTAAGCGCCTTTCTCATCTTAGGCCATTGCTTACATTGGTGGAACAAAGTTCCATTTTCTTTTCCGCTGGATCCACAACAGAATGCTCTTTGATGTATGTCAAAGTCCTACTGGTTCCCAAAATCTACAAAACAAAGCGAAACTGGCAGAGTGACAGGGCAACATTCCATTTCACACCATCAAACAGCACCACTCCATTTGTGGTAACCGCTCACTTGGGTATTCATCAGTGATGGGGCCGGGGCTGCCACACTGGACGGAAGAGACAAGACCCGTCCTCAGGTGCTATGCTTGGAACAAATGAAGGAGCTCAGCCCCAGCTGGTGCAAGACGGCGATGCAAGCTTTACCCAAAACCATTCGGTGAACAATCAGGTGAGGGCTGGGGAGCCGGGGCATGTATGTGAGACAGGGGCCGGGGACGCCCCTACACAGGGTGGTGCTGGGCAGAGAACCACCCCCAGGAAGGGACTGTGGGGGAGGTCAGGCCAGGAGGACCAGGCCCTGATGCAGGAGACTGCGTGCCAAGGTCCAGGAACCGGGAAGGGTCAAGAAGAGGGGTCCAGAGAGACCCCGGGCCTGACACCCGTGCAAGGACCCGGGCTCCACACGGAGGGGAAGTCGGGGAGTGTGTGGGCGGGGCAGGGTTGTCCTCACATTTACACTCTCAGGGCTCCCTGGTGGCACTGAGGCACAAAGCTGCTAGGGGCTGAATGTGGCGCCCCACCCTCATTTCTGTGTGGAAGCCCCAACCCCCAGCACCTCGGAGAGCGACCGGCCTGGACACCGCCGGGCTCCTGCAGGCTCACCGCTCGCACGAGGCTGGGCAGTCCCCACTCGGTGCTGAGCAGGCGCAGGCTGTGCAGCCGCCCCCGGCCGTCCACACCGCGCTCCAGCACGTCCACGCCCACCACGCACGGGTTCATCGGGTTCGGGTACTTCCGCATGGCAGCCTTGATCACGGTGTCCCATGGGTGGCTGCGGGGGAGAACGCAGTGGAAAGCAAGGGCAATGCTTGCACCACAGAACCCTGAACACAGCAGTCTGCCCGGCGCCCTTTGCCAGACCCACCCGCAGCGCCGCCTGTTGCCCCTGTGGGCCCAGAAAGAGATATTCTCTTCCACAGGCCAGGGTGCTGCCAGCCAGCGCCCCCCCCCTCCCCTGGCCCCACAGTCTACAAGCAAGCAGACTCTCTCACGGTGGGAATCCAATCCAGTTCTACGTGGGTGGCTGGAGCCCAATCACTTGGTTCTGATGTGCTTTTTTTTTGACAGTGTTTTTTTCAAAATTTATTAGTATTATTTATTTGAAAGGCAGACAGAAAGAGATCTCCCATCTGTTAGTTTATTCCCCAAATGCCTGCCATAGGTTACACTGGGGCAGGCCACAGCCAGGAGCCAGGAGCCGGGAACTCGATCTGGGTTTCGCCGATGGGTGGCAAGGACCCAAGTGCTTGAGCCATCACAGGGTGCTCATTACAGCAAGCTGGACTCAGCAGCTGGAACCCTGAACCAAACCCAGGTTCTCTGATGTGGGACATGGGTGTCTTAACCCCTAGGCCAAATGCCCGCTCCCCTGATGTCATTTTTAATAGAACCAAGTGACCAGTAATTTACCTTATCATCATAAAACTCTTGTCCTAGGTGAAGAAGTTGGCAGCAGCAGTGGCCAGTGGTAAGCGGGTCTCCTCACTTATTCTAAGACATCTGGCAGCCTCTACATTGTGAGGGTCTAAACTTCCCTCTCCTCAACCAGAAAAGCTTAGGCTCAGTTTTCCACACTGTGGAATCAGGCTGCTGAGTCACTGTGTCTGCTGCTTTAACAACAAGGGGTGAACCCACAGGGATGTGGCCGGTCCTGATCACCATGTAGCACAGAGAAGAGTCCAGTCTTGTCTTCTCTGAGCTAAGGGAGGAACACCCAGAGGGCATAGTCGATCCCAGATCTAAGGAAGGAAGGGAGGGGAATCTAGAGATACACGAACAGCAGAAAGGATCCTGCTGGGGGACTTCCAGGTTAAGTTCCCTGGGCTTCTTCCCACAAAAACCAGTACTTAAGGCACAATAGGCTATGCCTTCTAAAATTAAGCTTAAAACTGTGTAAGTGTTGAGCAGTATCTGCACTGGGCTTATCTGGATTTTTTAAATATTTATTTGGAAGACTGAGCATCAGAGAGAAGGGGAGAGACAAAGAGAGAGCTTCCACCTGCTAGTTTACTTCCCAACTAGCTGCAACACCCAGGACTAGGCCAGTTTGAAGCCAGGAGCCAGGAACTCCATCCTGGCTTCCCACATGGGTGGCAGGGGCCCAAGCACTTGAGCCATCATCCGCTGCCTTCCCAGGCACACTAGCAGGAAGCTGGATCAGAAGCAAAACAGCCAGAACTCAACCCAGCACTGATATGGGATGCTGGCGTCATGAGAGACAGCTTAACCTGCTGCACCACAATGCCAGCCCCTATCTGTTTCTTTTATATATGCACACACACACACACACACACATAAAAAAAAGTCTTGGATCTTTCCAGCTGATGACTGAAGCTCAATACAAAGTGCTTACAATATGCACATTGTAATTCCACTGACAAGTGCAGGATGACCACACACATTCACACTGACATCGAAGACGAATGGAGGGAAAGGGCACACAGCACTGTGCCATCTTTTACACGCAAGAGCCTAAGGCTGTGGCACACACCATGGTTGCAGAAAACAGCCTGACACCCACTCAAGTGGCAAATCCCAACAAGCCTGGCTGCATCAGGCGGTGGAAAAGGTGTGGGAAACAGGAAGGCGTGCCCCGTGGGTGGACACTAAATGGTCACCAGCACTTCTGTTTACCTAGAAGGATGAGAATGGACACACCCCCACACCTGTGAGTACTTCAGACAGATTCAGGAATTCAAAGAAGGGGCAGAGAAAGGTCTACCCAGGATCAGTCCCTCGCATTGCGCCAGGACCACCGGAGTCTGAACTTGTCCCCAGCAGGCAGAAGAGAAGCCTGTACCGCCACCCAGCGTGGATGTCTGCTCCCGCCCCTGCAGGCTTCCTTACGCACCTGCAGCTGTCAGGAAGATGGCACAGGAGGAGTCTATGTCTAGCATTAGGGGAAGGGAAGTGGGTACGGCCACGGCTGAGCCCAGACAGGCTGCTGGAGGATAACCTGGGCCATGGCAGCAGCCACTCAATATCCTAGTCCAGGGGCCGGTGCTGTGGTGGAGTGGGCTAAGCCTCCACCTGCGGCGCCAGCATCCCACATGGGTACCATTTCGAGTTCCGGCTGCTCCTCTTCTGATCCAGTTCTCTGCTATGGTCTTAGAAAGCAGTAGAAGATGGCCCAAGTCCTTGGGCCCCTGCACCCACATGGAAGACCCGGAAGAAGCTCCTGGCTCCTGGCTTTGGATTAGCCCAGCTTCAGCCATTGCGGCCTTTTGGGGAGTGAACCAGTGGATGGCAGATCTTTCTCTGTGTCTCTCCCTCTCTCTGTAACTCTACTCTCACACAAATAATGTCTTTAAAAACAAAATCCTAGTCCGACCGCTCTTGCATATTACTAAATTTTGTTTAAAGATTTATTTTATTTATTTGAAAGAGTTACAAAGAGAGGCAGAGCCTCTTCCATTCCAGAGCTGGGCGCATCTGAAGCCAGGAGCCAGGAGCTTCTTCCTAGTCTCCCACGCGGATGCAGGGGCTCAAGAACTTCTGCCATCTTCCACTACTTTCCCAGGCCATACCAGAGAGCTGGATCAGAAGAGGAGCAGCCTGCCTGGGGCTTTAACCCACTGTACCACGGCACTGGCCCCATATTTCTAAAAGGTACATAATAAAGAGATTTTTGGCTTGAAGATGTAGGCAGACACAGACAAGATAAAGGGCTCAGCAGTTCCTAGCCTGAGGCTACTGGCCTTCCCAGGGCATTGACATTTACACCAGCGCCCCCGGGGCAATCGAGGCAGGCTCCAAATCACAGCTTGGCCACGGGTTCCTCTCCTGAGTCTACAGGATGAAAAGGTAAAATTGTCAGTTTTAGTTGCACTTGACCCTGAGGACTCTCCTCTTTGATACTGTGTGAGAGGCAACAGGCTTCTGCTGGAAGCAAGTTCTTGGCCGCCCCAGGGCACTGTGCTTGCCACCCACCAGGCCCCCGCCTGGAAGAACAATGCAGAAACAGAGCACTTCTACGGCAGCATTTTCCAGAAAAATTAACCAGTGATACTTCAAGGACAACTCACGGTATTTGCTGCCAAAGATTGAATCTGGGCCTTCGATTCTAGAATATTGGGATTTTAGAAAACTTGGATCCACTACCAGGACCCTGAAGACTGCCCCAGACTGCAAACTCGGTGAACACATGGATTCCAAATGACCAGTGCAGGATGTCGCGAAAGCAGACCTGGCAAACTCGCTCAGAGCACAACACAGGCCAACGAGTATTCATTGAAGTGACAGCTCAATACTCATTAGGGTCTCAGAGTTTATGTTACAACCAATTTAAGAAGTAACTGGGCCGGCACCGCGGCTCAATAGGCTAATCCTCCGCCTGCGGCACCAGCACACCGGGTTCTAGTCCCGGTCGGGGGGCCGGATTCTGTCCCGGTTACTCTTCTTCCAGTGCAGCTCTCTGCTGTGGCCCGGGAGTGCAGTGGAGGATGGCCCAAGTACTTGGGCCCTGCACCCGCATGGGAGACCAGGAGAAGCACCTGGCTCCTGGCTTCGGATCAGCGCGATGAGCCGGCCACAGCGCGCCGGCTGCGGCGGCCATTGGAGGGTGAACCAATGGCAAAGGAAGACCTTTCTCTCTGTCTCTCTCTCTCACTGTCCACTCTGCCTGTCCAAAAAAAAAGTTACCACTCAGGGCCGGAGTTGGGGCACAGTGGGTTGGGCCGCTGCCTGCAATGCTGACATCCCATATGTGTGCGGGTTTGGGTCCCAGCTGCTCCACTTTGGATCCAGCTCCCAGCTAATGCACCAGGGGAAGCAGCAGAAGATGGCCCAAGCGCTTGGGCCCCAGCACCCATGTGGGAGACCAGGAAGAAGCTCCTGGCTCCTGGCCCAGCTCCAGAAATTGTGGCCATTTGGGGAGTGAAAGAACTCCCCCCTCCAGCTCCCCGTAACTCTGCTTTTCAAATAAATAAATAAATAAAAAGGTCACCACTCCTTTTGTCATAGTAGCAAGAGCACCCACAGAAGAGACTATTAAAACACACCTCTGCCAACAACGTGGCTGTGTGGGGCTGGAGCCTACACAGCCTTCAACCGAAACCATAAACCTGTATTACAAAGCACTGAATGCAGACAGAGGTGTGAAAACTAAGCTGTCTTCTAGCAAGCCAGACATCACAAGCCAAGTGCTACTTTGGGGGAAAGAGAGTTTTTTAAAACCTAAAAATAGTGTGTTAAAATAATAGGCTCATTATTTTTAATGTTCATGAATAAATAACTTGTCTACTATGGTAAATAATGATAGGTGTCATCTACATAAACCAAAACTGTCTGGGGTGTCCAACATCTTACAAGAATGCAAAGAGGTATTGGGGCTGAACAGCTTGAGATCTGCTGGCGTCCCTGGGCCTTTGACCCATACACACACACACACACACACATTGCGCCCGCGCGCGACGCTGGCCACTGCAGCGTGCTCTGTAAGAAGGGGGAACCCTGATGTCCTTTCAACAAGAGAAAGGGCAAACTGTGGCACATTCATGCAACGGAATGTCACCCAGCTATTGTGATCTATGTATACATTTGCATAGACCTCTATCTCACTATGGACAGTTCTCAGAAATGTACTGATGGGGCCAGTGCTGTGGCGTACCAGGTAAAGCTGCCACCTGCAGTGCCGGCATCCCATTTGGGCGCTGGTTTGAGTCCCGGCTGCTCCACTTCTGATCCAGCTCTCTGCTATGGCCTGGGAAAGCAACTGAAGATGACCCAAGTCCTTGGGCACCTGCACCCACATGGGAGACCCCGGTGGAAATCCAGGCTCCTGGATTTGGTCTGTGTCTCTCAAATAAAAATAAATTTAAAAATTCAGAGGTTTTGAAACCAGCTGATATTAATTTTACATTTAAAAAGCCAAAGGATCCTTCCATTTTGTGAAGTTGGTTTTTTTTTTTCCCTCCCGGAAATGAAATGCTGAAAAATCTTAAAGGGTAATCTTGGAGCGCCATGGATCAGATTGAGAGGAGGCATCACTTAGGTCTGGATGGCCTGGACGGCCTGGAGGCCTACAAGGAAATTCAAGGCCAAGGTCCCCTAGGTGCCTTCTTCCCACTCAGCTCCCTCCGGGGCCATCACGGGCTGCGGACCCTTCAGAAAACAGCCCCAAGGCTCAGATCGCCGGCACTGCATGACATCCGCAGGCCCGTACCAGCTCAGGAGACCCCCTAGCCCCTAGCCCCAGCACGCAGCACAGTGCACCCAGGTCTCAGCCCGCCCCCGTTGGGGACGACGCCTGCCCGGACCCCACCCCTCGCACCGCCCTCCTCCGCCAGTAGGCCCAGGCAGCCCGGACCGGCCAGCTCCGCCTCCCCCGTGCGCTCGCCCCGCAGCAGCGAGTCCCCCGCCCGCAGACTACCATCCCTCAGGGCTGCGGGTCCCGAGGTGGGAGCGGCCTCTGCGGGGCAGACCCAGCGGGGCTCAGGAACAGAAGCCGGTGTCGGCAGAAAGCCCACCGCGGCCCGCGGCCCGGCCTCACCCGAACACGTGCTCCGAGCTCCAGATCTTCATCGTCGCGGCCGCAGGGCGCGCGCTCGGAGCCGCTCTGGACCGGGCATCGGGAGCGGGGGGCGGGGGGTGGGGAGTGGGCGGGGCGTGCGCAGGCACCGCCCTCCGGCCACGTGATCCGCTGGCTGCGGAGGCTAAAAATAGGGATGCGGGCGGCCGCTGTGAGGTTCGCAGTGACTTGCGCGGCTGTAAATATGGGGCCTGGGGGCTCGTTCCCAGCTCGTCCACTTTCTCCCAGAGCCTTTCCGGCTGCGCGGTTTCCGCTTGGGCAGTATCGTGAAAACCAAAAATGCCAGTCCTGCTGGAGGACCTCCCCACAGGGGTAAAGAGAAAGGAAACAGAGCGCGGGTAGCTAAGCTGTAACCAGAATGCGGGGCGCACCACAGGCGGTCGGCTAAGGAGGAGGAGGTTGCTCTCTCCACTCCCCCAGGCTCCCCGCCACCCCGCGCACGCCACTCGGCAGCTCACCCTCAGGGTCCAGCCTCAGCTTCAGCACAAACCCCTCCCAGCTCACCCTGTCATCGCGCAGCCCAGCTTTAGCTCAGACCCCCAAGCCCCTTCCCGCCCCTTTGCACCGTAGAAGCCGCTAAGGGAGCGGCCCCCTCTCTGCTGTGTGTTCACCTGGGACTGAGCCCCTTCCGGACTTCGCTCTTCTGAGTAAACCTGGTCTGCTGTGGCTGCGTGCTGTCTCTTCTTTGCTGACAAGGGACGTTTCTCGAATCTTGGCAACAGAAGGGGTTTGCAAATTGCAGCCTGGCAGGACCTTGGTGCTGGGTCCCTTCCCTCCCTGGGACCTCGGGAGGTGGGGCTGCCATCTTCCTTGGTAATGGCATTTACAAGAGGCGGCTCCCAAAGCCTGGAGGGAAAAAAATATTCCTGGTTTATAAACTAGAAAGGGGGCTTACTTGGCCTTTAAAAACAGCGCCTATGGGGTCGGCTCTGTGGTTCAGTGGGTTAAAAGCCACAGCCTGCAGTGCCTGCATCCCACGTGGGCACCAGTTCGAGTCCTGGCTGCTCTGCTTCTGATCCAGCTCCCTGCTAGTGCACCTGGGAAAGCAGCAAGTGCTTTGGACCAAGTGCTTGGACCCCTGCTACCCACGTGGGAAACCTGGAAGAAGCTCCTGGCTCCTGGCTTTGGCCTGGCCCAGCCCTGGTTGTTGCAGCCATTTGCAGGGTGAATCAGTAGGTGGAAGACCTCTCTCTCTGCCTCTCCTTCTCCCTCTGTAACTCTGCCTTTCAAATACAGAAATCAATCTTAAAACAACAGTGCATACGTGTCAGAACAGCAGCTTGCAGTTACGTTTCTTTAAGTAACTCAGGGAAGGAAGGGAAAGGGATCCTTTTCATTTTTACTCCAGGGGAGAATTTCATTTTTTTTTTTGTTTTTGGGTGGTTGTTGTTGTTGTTGTTTTTGCCTTTGAAATTTATATCTACCATGTACCACCACAAAGTGCAAGGAAGTGAGACACAACTGCTGAGCAGAGTGCCAGCAGCACTGGGCAGGGCCCTGTTTACCTCACTGCTGGATCCCAGGACCTGAAGCCGTGCCTGGTGCCCAGTGGGTGTCCAGTGCGTATTTGTGCAATGAGTCAGCGGCGTGGGAAGGGCACGCGGTGTCGGCCAGCAGACCCAGTAGGATGCTGGCTCCACCACCTACCCACATGGGCTGTTTACCACCTGTGCCTTTCGCCTTATCATTCATTGTCTAGCAAGGTCTGTTCTTTTCCGTTTCATAAACAAGCAAACCAGGCTTCCCCCAAAGACTGCCAGCTAAGGCCCCTCTGCCCACCATGCTGTGGTGACTCACCGTGATCCCTGGGCCAGTTGCTGGCTAGCTCCTGTGTGCAAGCCCTGAGCTATGCCCTGTATTTAGGGTAAAAACATAGAGGGAGCAAACCGGTCCCAGGTCACAGAGCTTGGGATTGGCTGACCTGGAATTCAAAGTCTATCTGACTCCTGAGCCTGGTCTTACCGTTTATTATGCTCTGGACAGAGGAATAATTTGACCCAACCTCAGTTTCCACAGCTGTCAAGCAAGGATGCTAATAGCCACTGGGGCCTTCTGCTGTGAGGAGTGAGATCAGTACAGGAACATCAGTGTCCACTGGTATTTGTAGATCACTTGTCCCCAGGCAGCCAGCTCAGACCAGCTAGAGAACCATCGAACCATCCCGAGCCCTTTGTTTCTTTCCCTTTTTTTTTTTTTTTTTTTGAGATTTTTTTATTTATTTGAAAGAGTTACACATAGGAGAGACAGAGACAGAGAGATCTTCCATTCGCTGGTTCACTCTCCAAATAGCCGTAGCAGCCAGGGCTGGGCCAGGTCAAAGCCAGTAGCTAGGAGCTTCTTCTGGGTCTCCCCCGTGGGTTCAGGGGTCCAAGCACTTGGGCCATCTTCTGCTGGTTTCCCAGGCGCATTAACAGGGAGCTGGATCAGAAGTTGTGCAGCCGGGACACAAACCGGTGCCCGTACGGGATGCTGGCATCACAGGCAGTGGATTACATGCTGCGCCACAGTGATAACGCCCAGCCCTTTCTTTTCTAAAGAGGAGACAGTGCAACATCAGAGGGTGCCAGCATCTCTGCAAACTTCCCTGGGGTCACCTCCTAGAAGGATGCTGACCCCCAAACCTGGAGGCTTTGTTCTCGCAGCCTCACTAGAATGATGGTGATGGCAATGAAAAGCCCTGAGAGGCGTCTGACTCTGGACCAGGCACACCCCACGGAGCAGTGGCTCCTTTCCTACTCAGACCAATCCTGCGAATGAGCCTATTATGAGCCTCCTTCTATAGGCAGGGGGACCAAGGCACACAAAGAGCAAGTAACTCGTCCAAGAACACACAGCGAGGCCGTAGCAGAGCCGCGATTAGAGACCAGCAAGACCAGCACTCTTGGGATAACTTCCCAAATCTGGTTCTGCCAGTTCGATGGCTCAAATCTAAAGAGCTCTTTAATAGGCCATAATAGACACTCGTCAGCTTGCCTGAAGGCAGAAAAGCTCTCTGTTGGCTGATTTTACTGGGCCAAAAAGCTTTGGAAATCAGGAGCTATGCCCTTCTCCTTGTTGCGTCAGGAACGTTGTAGGCAGGCAAGGAATGGGTGAGGGACAGTCACACCCCGGCACCCCACACTGGTATCTGTGTGTTCTGTCCAAGTCCTCCTTCCGCCCTCATCCCTCACTGTTCCGCTCTCTGTCCCTCCTGGCGTGGTCTGGGAGCAGGTGCCGCACCAGCAGCAAGAAAGGAAGACTTGGGCCCCATCTCGGACCCCCACGTGGTATCTCTTGTCGGGGGTGGGGGGCAGAAACGTGAGGTACAGTACACTCTCCAGGAAATGCGTGTGCTCACGGAGCCCCGCTATCTCAAACACATCCGGCCCCCTGCCAATGCGGCCAATGGTGTTTCCTGTGCACACCAGCACAGTGATGTGCCAGACGCTCGCCAGGCAGTTCCCTCCGCCCCTGTGCCCTCCTCTGGGCTGTCCTGGAAGCATCTTTCAGGGAGAGACAGGAGAACATGCGGAGACCCAGGAGCAGGGGTAGGGAATGCTTCCGGGCCGCTGTAGGCCAGGGCAGCCTGTGCAGGGTAAGTGGTGGGAATGAGGCTGGAGAGGGAGACGGGAGCTGTAGCATGAAGGGCTTCGTATTCCACCTCGGAACTTTGGACGATTTCAAAGCTTGAGGTTTCAGAGACAAAACAGTTAGAAACATAAGCTGCACCAGGGGTGGGTATTCAGCCTCACTGTTAAGATGCTGGCTTCCCATACTGGAGTGCCTGGGTTCAAGTCCTGTCTCCAGCTCCTGATTCCAGCTTCCTACTAACGCAGAACCTGGAAGGCAGTGGCAATAGCTTGAATAATTGGGTTCCTGGGTTTCTGCTAACATGTGAGAGACCTGGATAGAGTTCCAGATTCCAAAGCATCGGCTACCTCCCTTCTCCTGATCCAGGCATTTGGAGAGTGAACCAGTGGGTGGGTGCTCTCTCTGTCTCTCTACGGCTCTGCCTCTCAAATAATAGATAAATAGTTAGAGGCTGGCACTGTGGCACAGAGGGTTAAGCCCCCAGCTTGCAATGCTGGCATCCCACACGAGCACAGGTTGAAGTCATAGCTGCACAGTGCTCACGCACTTGGAGAAACAGTGGGTGATGGCCCAAGTGATTGGGTCCCCCTGGGTGCATGGGGGAGACCTGTATGGAGTTCCAGGTTCCTGGCTTTGGCCATTGTAGCCATTTGGGAAATGGACCAGTAGATAGAAGATTCTCTCCCTCTCTCCCTCCCTCCCCCTCTTTCTTCCCTCCCTCCTTCCCTCTCTCTCTCTGTAGCTCAGCCTTTCAAATAAATAAAATAAATCTTTAACTAAATAAATAAACAAGCAGATAAAGAAGCTACCCCCAGGAAGCAGGCTTGCCTGGCTACAGGGATTGACATCAAAGGGAGAGGAAAATGGCCAATGGGAAGACTCCTGGGTACCGGATACGACCTGCCGTGGCACCTGCCGTCCCCTGCTGTGTGCGCACATCCGCCAGGTGAGCACCTTGTGGTGAGCACACCTTGGCATTACCAGCAGCTGGAGAGTCTGAGCCACTTGACAAATGGTTGGTAACTGAGTGAGAATCACCTGCTCCAGCTCCTTCCGGAGGGCAATAATAGGCAGGGCTGGCCCCAACCCAGGATCCACAGTAATGGATAATCTAAGGAGCTCCTCAAAGTAGCAAGGCCTGGACCGCACCCCTAAGGACTTCTGTTTATCAGGATTGCAGCGTGGCCTGGGCATCAGGACTTTGAGATCCCCCCAACACACCACCCCAGGTGTTGCCAATGGGCAGTGAAGGCTGAGGACGCAGAGCAGAGGGTACAGGTGAGGCAGGGAGACAGGCGGGAAGCCAGGGCCCCAGAGCACCTGTGCCACGCATGGGAATAAAGACCTGCAAACGCAAAGGAGCCGGCAGCAGCCGGGTTCAGGGAGAGGAAGAGCAGGTGCTTCCCTCCATCCCTCGTGTCTCTGGCACCGTCGCCTCAACATCCCCCTCATCCCCAGGGGCTGGAGGCAGCTTTGGCTCCCCTGC